AGAGGTAGATCACTACCCTGTAATGAGGTCAGGTCTCATCTGATACAAGCTGCTTGCAGAGTTCACTCAGCCACTGGCATGCACTGCTGTTCCTGACGACTCCTAAGAGGAGGAGCCAGCAGTTTATGCTAAGGCGCAGGAAAAGCTTTGGGAAGCATCGAGGTGACATCACTGCATCCACCACCTTGAGCATCACAGGGCAAGCTTTGATTCTTCCCAGGCACCATAACTCTCATTGAGCACAGGGAGAGCAAGAGCACCTCTGCCTCAAAGTACAAGCKGCATTTACCTCAAAATGCAAACTGTATTCACTCTTTCTGAATCTATTTTTTCAGGAAAAATTATTTCCTTTCTTCCTTCTTACAAGGGTCAGATAATGGGCAGCTGCTCTAACAACATGAGCAAATATGGGACTGGGGAATGGTCAGAGCTCCTTTATCTGAGGCAGTTTTACAAGCACAGAATGTTTACGATAGGGTCACTGAAAATTGTGCAATTTCTCACTATCATCTCTCTCTCCTGAAATCAGGGATAGGGGAAATCAACTCTGTTCAAAGATAAAAAGCTCAAAATGATCTTCATCATAGAAACAGGACCAGACAGAAAAAACAAACAAAWAAACAAAAGTGTGTGTACATCACTGAAGAGATTYCCCAAAAGGGGCGAGAAGAAAAACTGTGCTTCTCTGGCATGGCAGTGACGAGAGGTTTCAACTCTAGCCGGTGGGGAAGCACAGAAAGCTCAAGGGACCAGTAGGGATTTTCTTAGCCTAGAAATGAACTGGAGATGAATAGATTATGATATTTTCAAGGCAAGAATTTCCATTCAGAGACAAAAGGAAAGTTGTTCAGGGCAAACAGGGTTCATTCACCAGCAAGGCTAAGTCAACTGGTTCCTCAGAGCATGGCCCCACTGCAACAGGAATAGGCRTCTTGACAAGTTCATGATTGAACCGCACAAGCAAATCCTGGAAACTAGTTCCTGATCCAGGTTCTTTTCCTTGCACTTAACAGTATTAGAGTTTACAGGCAAAACACCTACCTTTGAGATCCTCATCTTCRGTAGTGGTGTTACAGCTCTCTGTGGATCCCTGCACAGCAGAACAGAACGTTACCAGACATCAGCAGTCAGGAGCATTAGGAAAGGCTTTGATTTGTTTGTGGAAGAGGAGGAGGAAGGCATAAAAACACAGGCAGCTATCACATAGATTGAATAAAACAAAGAAGATTTGGATGGAAGCGAGCCAACTATCAAGCAAAGCTTAGCTGCATCTCTTCTAAATGCTTGCATGTTCAAGCAGTCCAGGCCCTCCACACAAGCGGAAGTTAAGCTGTATCTTGTGAGATCATTGCTTTTATTTGGAAGAATAGCCCCAGGAAGCTTAAAAAAAATAAAATCCTAGGCTTTCTCAAAGGAACAGGGGAACAGATCTCCATTTCAGGAAGAAATAAGTGCATGAGTGCCTGTATCTTCTCATCCCCTCTACACACACAAAGGAATGATGCTGACACACCAAACTGGCAAGAGATTACGCTTCTCAAACAGCCATCCCTACTCAGCCTGGTCTAGAGATCCACAGCTCTCCAACACTATGTTCTCCAGCAGCACTCAGGATCATGCTACAAACCAGACACCAGAAGGGCAGAACCCCAAGTCAGAAACACAAAAACGAGAATGACACAAGGGAGCAGAAGTCTCTCTGACCGCACTCCCATCCCTTACCTTGATGCCATCGGTAGCATTATGGACAACAGTTGTTTGAGGCTCCTAGGAAAGGATGGAAGAACTCATTAAATTCTCATTCTGTGGCATGGTTTTCCCATATGCTTTCACTCCCCAGGAAGTGGAGAAAAGGTGACTGACATAAAAAAAGAGTCAAACCACAAACTCCAAGCAGCACACGTGCGCTTGCCGGCGTGCGCACACACCTCCTGCGCGGGGTTCCTGAGGAGAGAGACTGCCTAAAAGCTACCGACACCAGGAGACAAAGCCCCCAGATTCCCTGCAGCTCTCCCAGATGCCCAATTTGCTTCTGGAAAACCACGCTGGCACCAACGCCAGGTGGCAACAGGAGAGTCGGTCCCCAGTGCACAAGGTGCTCATGCAGTCATGACCCCTCAGCAGCATGTCTAGAAATTGCTTGGAAAAGGGTAGAGATGAAGGGAAGTGTAATACTGGGTTGGGGCCTTTGTCTCCCAGCTTTTGTCAGGTTTGCCTGGTATTTTACCCTRAAAAGGGACATTCATAATTTCCACAAGAAGCAAGTTGGTAATTCAGARCACCCCAATGTTCCTCACTGAGGAGCCATTATGGGAACTGGGCTGTGAGAAAAGGCACATTTTTCTAGAACAAGTCTCTAAAATGAGAACTGATTCCAAAAAGCGGTGGTAGTAGTARTAATAATAATGATAGTAATCAGAAAGGCCTCCTCAGCATCAAAATCATAAGAAAGCCAGTGAGTGAAGGGGAAGCTGAAAATTATGAAGTGTCCCAAGAACCCTTCACGCTACCCTAAACAAGAGGAGCATCGGGTCTCTCCAGCTGCCCCCAAGCGCAGCGAGCAGCGCCCGGGCTGTGAGCGCTACCCCGTGCTCGCTCCCCTGCTRCAGGGGCGCAACCCGAGCACCCCGCACCGCTTCCTGCCACCGAGACGGCTCCAGCGGGGCGGCTCAGCGAGGCATCGGCGACCGTGTGGGGCAGCGGCCAGCGCGTGTCCCGGCTCCCCTGTCACCACCCAACCTGCCGGGCACGGAGAGGGCCGCGTGCTGCGCCGGGGCGCTGGGCACCCCACACAGCCCCAGCACCCGGGCACCAAGGCACATTTGTCCATGTGCTGCCCGGGATCCCCATGCAGCGCTGGCGCCCACGCGGCCGCCCAGCCTTTCCTCCGAAAACCCCTCACCCGCCCTTTTCTCCTGAGGTCCCTCCTGCATGTCCCAGGTGCCGGAGGGGGATGGAGCCGCCCACTCTCCTCCTCCAGCCCAGCCTCCCAAAAGCCAGCAGGAACAGTCGGACAGGACACACACAACTAGATAGGGAGGGCACAGGGGGAAGTCCAGGCAAGCTGCGCTCCAACCACTGCTCCGCGCCCGCGCCAGCCCCAAGCCGTGAGGCTGTGACGAGGCCCCCCAGCAGCGCAGGGGCACACACAGAACCAAGCCAAAACACAAGCGGAAACAGAGCAGCACAAGCAGCACTCGGGGTCGGGGTCAAGAGRGGACAAAATCAAAATTAGACCAAACAGGAAAAAAAAAAATAGCGCTTGGGGAGATACCATGGACGTCTGCACTGGGGGTGTTTCTTTTGCAGTGCTTACTATACTGGTTTTGTTGTTGCTCTGTGGCTGAGACAGAAAAACATCGTTTTAGTTCCCCGGCTGGGCAGCAGAGGCAGCAAGAAAATGACAGTTTGGCTCAATCCCAACCACGGCCGCAGGCCCTCCCCTCCCGCCAGGCTCATCCGCCAAGGGCAGGCAGGAGCAAGGAAGGCTTCCCCGGCCCCTGGGCACCTGCCTTCCCCTGGGGCCCTCAGATGGGGAAAGGGAGGCACCAAAAACCCAAACATGGGGGGACTGCTCGAGCTAGGAGGAGGGAAAACAAAAGGGGCGAAAAGGCAGCAGCCCAAAGGGGTGGGGGAATCCTGGAACAAGCACCAGCAAAAATATTGGGGGAAGGAGGAGAAGAAATGGCAGCAGCAGCCTCAAGAGAAGGGGACTGCAGAAGTGAGAGGGATGCAATAGTCATGGCATAGTCTCAAACTGGGGAGAAATGGGGTTGTGAAGGAGGAGTCCCAAAGTATGCAGGTRTAATGCTAGGTATGCAATGATGATGAGGGTCCCAGAGAATCTGCTGATAGGGAAAAAAAAGTGTGCTCAGCCCTAGAAAAGGTAGAGAAAAAGTGAAGTATGGTGCATTGGATCCCTGTTGTGACCCAAATGAAGACTTCAGGACCAAACTATGGAGGTGGTGGATGAGGGGAGGAGAGGCTGCAAATTCCCCAAGCAGCAAGTCCTCCGGATGGCACCCAGCAGTTTTGCATCCTGTCCGGCTTCAATCTCTCTTGTAGCTACGTTACGATAAAAGTCTCCATTTCCTGCATATACCCAGCACAATAGTGAGGCAATCAGCAGCTTTCTGCAGGAAAATGCCCCACTGCACCACACAGCAACGAGCCAAGTCTGCTTCTGTGGGATGACAGAGCARTGTCCACTAGTCTGTGTTTCTAGCCCACAAATCCAGCCAGTTGTTGCAGGCCTGAAGGTGCCTGCACACTGCTATACAGCTCTCTGTGCGACCATAACGCAGCGCTGCGGCCGCCGATTGCCCCGGTTTGCACGCCGTGGTTCCTGGCAGGGCTCTCGCTGCAGCCCGACCTCGCCGCAGCTGCTCCTCACGCCGCCCTCCCGAGCGCTGCCCGCGGGCACAGGGCGCGAGGTCCCCATCGCGCTGCGGCCCGGGCACGAACGCGCTGCCAAGCGCTCCGCTAGGTCAGCTAGAAACAGAGCCCGCGAGGTCCGGCCTCCACACGCRCCCAGCAGCGCTTCAGCTCCCTTTACAAGGGGAGCTCGAGCTGAGCCGTCCCTTTTGGAGCGAGTAGAGAGGGCAAGGAAAGAGGAAAGGCAGGGAGAGGAAGTGGGAGAGAGAGGCAGGAATTAGTTCTTAAAAAGTCCACAGAAAACAGTATACGACATGCTCGTCCCAAAGCTAAGGAAGAACAAATACACTTCATAATTTGCTGCCTTTCCCTGTATAACCTCACTTTGTCCCTAAGGCTTTGGCTTTCCAAGAGCCTTGATTCCTTCATGGATTTCCAGCCTGATGGCAGAAGAGTTGAGTATGGATGAAAATATGGATGCAAGAGGGGAGAAGAGCAAACTCAAACAAACAAACAAACAAATAAAAAAAAAAAAACACCCAAAGAGATCCCAAGCTCTTGTGTGGTAGAAATACAACGAGGTTTCTGGCAATGTTGGATTCACCCATTCATACAGCACTGAGGTTCCTCTGCCTCTTCAGAAACAGTGATCCTAAGGCAAAGAGTATCTTCTAGTGAGAAGAGTACAGCTTAKTTTTCTTAGTCTACCGAGGTATGAGGATACAGTTAATACAAAAGCAGCTATAAAAAATTCTCCTGATTTTTTTTCACTCYGTTCTTTAGATTTGCTTCCTGCAGGTTTACTTTCCGGAAGGCTTTATAATCAAAATCCAATGGAAGAATCACCGAGGTAGCCACTGTTCTGAAAAGCAGTCAACAGCAGTTTGTTAAGGTGCGGGATGTCACCCTACAAAGCACAAACCCCSACACAGCCCAGATGCACAGCCCCCTTTCCCGGCTGCATCCATCATACTCTTCCCCACCTGCGTCTCATTTTTACCACTTGCTATGCATCGGCTTTCCAGGTTCATGGAATACTTAACTCTAGGACAAAGTCCCAGATAAACAGGGGGCGACAGGCTCAGTCCATCCCGGCRTGGGACTCATGAGATGCCTGAATCTTCCCCACATGCCCATGTCCCAAGGCCATCCAGCCCAGCATCCTTCACGGAGACCAGTGTGTCCTTCCTCGAGCCCRGGTGCCACGGGACACTCTAACCCCTCCTCGCCCTCCCATTCCCAAGCACCACACAGGCCTCGATCCTTGGCACTTCACAGCTCAAGTTAAAAGGCAATTCACCTAAAAAAGGTGCCAGGCCCTTTCTAAGCTCTCTTTAACACAATTAGTTTTGGCACAGCAGTTGGAAGTGCTTCCTGAGCCAGACAAGAGACAGACAGACAGGCACAAACAACACAGGGGGTGCAAGAGAAAGAAAACAGACCAGTGATCATATCGCTCGGGACACCCTCTCACAGCCAGCAAAAAGCAAATAAGTACCAACATATGGGCTCCCTCTGCTTATCTGGCCACCTTCACTGCCTCACTGTTTTCCGAGGCTCACGCTTATACGGTTTACATATCCCAGCTGCTTTAAAACAACAAGCAGAGGGAATTTGAGTAGCGCTGGCAGTGGGCAGAGAAGACAGGCGCGAAGCCCTCCTGCCCCGGACTTTGGTATAGGCAGGGCTAGGGAAATGTCAGTCTCCCACGTTGGATTTTCCAAGCCAAACTCCGTGCTTTTTGTGCTTACATGGGTTTAAGATGTTACTGAAGGAGAAAGGGGGGACATATTTTCCAGATAGTAATGCAGAAACATATTTTCTGCTTTCTCAGGACCATAATATTGCTACGTACAATAGGGGAGAAGTGTTTTCTATTCTTTYTCTAACAGAGACAGGAGCTACAATGCTACTAATGCACTTCAGATACTGCCCAGACCTCAGTGCCAGGCACTGGCATTGTCTGAGGGGCTGTACATGCCTCCTTACAATATGGCACTGGCCAATTTTCTCTTTGCCCCCTTAAAACTGATTTGACTGCTTTTCTGACACATTCTATGAATGTCAAACACATCTGGATGGATGAAAAAAGGGAATAAGACAGGGAAGGGCAGTTACCAGGTATTTGGTCATGCTGGGAGACACAAATAAGATCGGGACAAGAGGAAGTTGGGGATTATGGAGGCTCCCACAAACCTCTTGGGGACAGAAGGCTAAAAAAGAAGGGAGCAGCAGCCCYGAGGCGCCCACACCAGCAGCGCAGCCCCCTCGGGCTCTGCCGCTTCTGGAGCGGCTCCAAGTCAGTTCTACACTGCAGGGCTCACCAAGGACGATGGCAGCAACGCCAGGCAAAGCCCCTGCTCCTCTTTTTGGCACCGCCGCAACAGAACGACAAAGCCCCCTGTCCGGGCAGGGCGCACGGGCTCTGCAGGGCCCGGGAGAAGCCCTGCCACAGATCACACACCGAGAGCGGCCAACTGCGCTTCCAACCGCTGGTTTTCCGCACAAAACGGGAGCCGTGCGACTGGCCGGGGGGGGATGGCAGGCAGTCCCGGGGCCCTTTTAGTGAGGACATGGACCGCTGAGTGCACGAGGAGCCCCGCCACCGCCCCCCGGCGCGCACATGCTATGTAGGGTGATGAGCACAAGCCGAGCGTGCATGGCATGGGAATGGCGGACGCACGAATCGCAGGCAGCTTACGGGAGGTGCTCACCATCAAATGCACACTGGAGCTCGACTTCCTTTTCTGGACACACCATTGAGAGAGGGAAAGAGAAGGGAAGAGAGGAGATGAGAAGAAAAGCACAGAAACTATTCACACATCAGTGTGCCGGCAAGGGCCCCCCTGCTAATAACACTCCCCTGGGAACGAGCAGCAGCAGAAACGCACGGACACGCAAAAAAGTGCGGAGAGAAGTCRCTGTTAGAGAACACCACCACACCCCGGGGAAAGGGCAGCGCCGCAGATCCCATCCATTCCAACGCCAAAGCCAGGACACAGGTGCCATACACACGGATGTACGGAGAGGGGAAGAGGGGGGGCTGTATTACGTATGCACAAGACAAGGGTGTGAGCTCTCCTACCTCGGAGCTAAGCACAGTTTCTCCAGCCACTCAAGGGGTTAGGCACAAAACTCCTCACATTTGGAGAAAGCAAACGTGTGTGCTCAACACCGTCATGAGAGGGTAGGGAGGAGGACACAACAGCATTCCCAAGGGCTAAAGATGAGGGAGTTTCTGTGGATAATGTGGGGAGAAGGGCTGCCTTGCACAGGAATTGGGGCTGACGCAGGAGAGGACAGATGCACCCACACTCCGAAGTGCAGAAAAGGCAAGGAGGTGCTCCACAACTGGAGCACCTTGTGCTCTCAGAAACTGAGACCAGTGTGCTAATGCTACCCATCTTTCCAGGACATGTTCTCCTGTCCACACACAGCTTCAGGCACCCTCTGCATGCCGAACTCCGATCTCCAGAAGGCTGGATCCGCACGCACCCCTCTGCTCTGCCCAGCCCCAGCTCGGCCGGCTCTCCCTCCTTGCAGCACCAGCTGTTCCCCAGCCACGTCTGCCTGCTTCTTCCCCCTGCTGCTCCCCTTGGCTGCTCCTTCTCTGCCCATTCCAGGGGGGAGCCTCCTCCCATCCACACTGCCAGGGCRCTCCCTGCCCTGGGGAGCCCTTGGGGCCGTGCCCCCCCATTTCCCACGTGTCAGGGTCCCCCCCGGTGCCTCCAATCCTGCCTGCCAGCCCCATGGGAGAGCTCGCACACGCCTACAGGTCGGTGGGGCTCTGTGAACGTCCACCCAGCAGCGCATTCCTGTTCACTCTGTGTAAAGGCCAGGGCAGAGCACACACTGCAGGGGCAGTTTGCAGCTAGCAGAGCTCCTGCCTCACCCAGTGCTGAACTCCAGGATGGACAGAGGCTGGTGCTGCCGGATCTGTTCAGCATTTTGCTCACTAAGCTTCCATTTCACAGGTGCAATACAGGACTTGCCTGATTTACAAACTTATGATTCCTTACATCATCTTTTTTTGGACAACTTAGTTTCTCCACATTTTTTTCCTCAAGCAAAAGCTAAAAYGGAAGGGACCTCCAGTATACAAACATGATGCTCAGACCACCAGCAACTTAGAGGAGTCCTTGTTCCCGGGCACAGAGCAGAATCCTTCTCCAGGAAAACTGGAAATTCACACCTGATGAAAAATGACTCCAAAATGAGTTTTTATTTTTAATTTATCCTACAAATTCATCCTACAGAGAGACAGCACACACAGATATGGCAGGGAAGGTTTTCCTTAAGGAAGATGGTCTCATTAGAAGTGCCTACAGATTTCCCACGAGAAACAACAGAAATAGAAACAAGAAGGGGGTCAGAAAAAGTTAACAGACAATGAAATAGTTTATATCAAAGGAGAACTAACCAAGCCACACGGAACACAAACACGCAGCCCTCCCCCCAGTTCTCTTTTCAGAAATTAGAGACACAAGAAACACTGACACACGAGGAAATTGAGCCCTCTGCAGATCTGAATTTAATTAGAGCACAATCTAAATTTAAAACACTGCTGCTCTATTAACATGGCATGATGGATTCTGGAAATCCCAGACAGTACATCACTACTGGCCAGTATAATAATAACAAAACCCAGCTTGTTAAGTAATACAAAATGGCTGGGGGAGGGAGGGGGTGAGGCCTGCATTAAGACCAGAGCTTAAAAGACAGCTGTGGACTGACAACGAGTGCTCAAGCACCYAAACACAGTAACACCCAAGACAAAATATCGTCAAGGACGTCACGAACAACAGATCAGTCGCCCTCTCCTCTGTAATGGAGGCATAAGTCACCTATGGCACCTAAGAGCAATATATGAACTAGCAAAACTTCTTTTTGTGTTCTGTGTCTACAATTAGCAAAAAAAAAAAATAAAGCAACAGAAGTTTGGCTATGACAGAGCTTCCACAATGCAGCTACATCTCTGTGTGTAGCTAGTATTTCTAGGCAGTGCAAAGACAGCCCAGGCAACAGGAAAATAAAAGGTGCTGCAGCCAAGCAGCCTCTGGTGAGGAGCCTCACCGATCACTGCAAAGACTTCCCCACATCTGAGAGGKGACAAAACACTCTCTCAAAGCAGTACAGACATTTTCCCCTCAAGCCTATGGGCGAATCTTTTGGGTGCATTTGGGTGAAATTCAGGTGTTCCAATTGCCTTCACTGAAACTTGAGGGAAGAAAGAACCCTGCTGTGGGTAACACCGAACAGCAGAGCACACAGTGAGCTGAACGCACGTGCAGGAGTCGCTGCCTTTCGGGACAGCAACAGTCCTGGGAACACCCGGGGCAAACCATCCCCATCACCCACAGAAAGCAAGATGTGGGCTAGAAGATGTCATAAGAAGCAAAGAGTGGACCCAGCCAAGGGCTCAGTTATGGTTCAGGGCAGTCAATTATGTGATGCTGAGTAAATCATTTCATCTTTGTGAATCCGTCTCTTCTCTCACGCTTTGCCTGCTCATCTCKCTAAGTGTGAGCTGGGAGGCAGGGTTTCTGCTTAGGCATTGGCACAGCACTAAGCTGGACCTTAGCTCTCAGGTGGAGTTTAAGCATTACAGCAATACAAGTGAACAAAATGAATGCATCAAAGGTTAGTGAAACGTGTTACTGGATGTCAGCCCTCCATTCAACCAGATCTGAAGTGCTCCCCAAGCATCCCRAATAAAACATTTCAGCATAAAACTGTTGTGTGCAGGTGAACTTGGGCCCTCCTCATTTATTTTCACCGTTCAATCTTTAAACAGTGTCTGAAAAATCATTAAGAGCCCGCTTGTAGAAGCGGGAGCATTAACTCCTGTGCAGATGTTACTCGACCCCTCCGGATCTCAAGAGGGCCGTTTTCTAAGGGCTCCCTCCTGGCTCCCTTTGCCAGCACCCTCACACGCACGCCCACAGACTGCCCTCCCAGCAGCAATTCCAGCTGCACAGCTCCTCTCCTGCCTCCTCCCCACCTTTGGGGGATGCTTTCCCAGCAGAGGAAGCTGCTACTGCCCGGGATGACATCTGCACGCTCTGCAATGTTTGTTACAAACAGCAAACAAACAGGATTTGGTGCCTCTGCAGAGGGCAGGTTTCACCACATCAACCTCCTCACACCAGCCCCCTAGATTTCTGCTTTCAGCCCAATTCTCTTTTCAGCTATCCTGTGCAGCTTCTTCYGGCTAACAAAACCATGAATATGCAGTAGAGTGGCAAGGTACAAAGTCAACAAGTTTTGCAGAGCACTTSAAATGAATGCTGTCAAAAACCTTGCACATCCTCTAGCTTTCTACACAAGTTACTAGTTAGAGAGTTACACTGCGCCTGAAAAACGCTGGTAACATTTTGTATCTCTTAATCAAAAACCAAAATGCTCAAAAGAAGCAAAAAAGGAAATCAGGAAAGAAGAGCTAAGTTTAAAATGCTTCTAATTACACACTTAACTAAAAATAACATTTTGAGCATTAACATCTTCTGATTATGAAGATGAATTTGTCAGGCCATCTTAGATCTGGAAACATGTGCATCTTCTCACACTTGTAATAGGGAAAATTTCCTTTTAGGAAAAAGGGAACACGAGTGTTTGAAGTGCTGCCCAGAGACACAATGGACAGGAGCACTGCAGCACTAGCGATAGAGAGCCCAGCTCCTGACAAAGTCAGAGAAAGGATATTCACCACAAAGTGTCCTTGATCTTCATCCCCTTGTYTGTCCCAGCCCATTCCTTAACCCCGCTCACCAGCGGATGGCAAATCCCGGTCACAAATGGAAAGAGGAACAAGAAAACAAATAGATTTGATATGAAACTATGGAAAGCAGATGTAAAGATTGTAGTTGYACAATGTTTCTTATAAATACAGAATTTAAAAAAAATACAAATAAACCCCACAGGACCTACAGTGGTGGCCCCAAGGTATGTGGTGTGTTACATGGCTCTGCAGTTCGTCACCCAGAATCTTCCAGCCTCACTTTCTGCATTTGCAAGTAGAAAGTTATGATCCTTGGGAATAAATCCTGAGCCTTGATGCTACTCCACCAGCCTGGAAGCAATTCTGCCTGAAGAGAGCAAGTGCAGCACTACCAGTGCAGGAAGGTTTGGTGGGCAGGGATAATTTAAGACACAAGGCACTTTAAATCATTCATTATTTAAGATAATGAWCGGAAGATGGAAAAGTTCTCAAGTGCCAAGTTGATGAAACATCTACCAATTAGCAAAATTAGTACTTGAAACAGAAGCAGTAGTGCACAATGAAGACCAGGAGTGTTTCAAATGGAAGGGAAAAGAACTGGCTGCAGAAGGGGGTCACGTGGAAATCTGTTCAATCCATGTCACTGTAGACAAACCTGTAATAGATGAAAAATGTTTCCTATCTATTCCCCCACTCCTGACTTTCCTAGGAAAAAAACGTGTTTCTTACAGCTAATAAACATCAAATCAGTGCAAATCACACCAGATGCTTTTATCATTATGTATGACTATAATAAATCAGTCCTCTCTCATTTAGGCTAAAACAGTAACATCATTTATCAGGTGTTCACCAACACACCTAAAACATGTGGTGTTCTAGAGAATAACCCAAGAGAAAAAGGTGTAGCCCTCACTCAAACTTAGCTAATGTATTACAAATTCCTACAATATTTATGGAATACTGCAAGATCCTGGTGAAGCAACAGCATACTTCTAAATCCTATCAAATAAACATCAACCTGGGATGGGAAAAATACCTTGAATGTAAAGTAAATGAAGCCAAACTGATTCTGCTTTTTCTTAATGGTTTTAAAGCCATTAATTTTGGCTTTAAATTATAAATTTTATATAAATTTTACAATAGCACAATCATCAATCAGTGGCAGAAATATTCTTTCCATTCTCATCCTCTGCATGGCTATCCATGGCACAAGGCGTTCCCCAAACACTCTTGGCACAGTCATTCTGGACTGGAAAAAACATAATGAAGACATTGAAACATTTCATCTCAAATCTTCACAGATGGGAGGAAAAAGTCTTATGGAGGAAAAGTCTTATTATGGGAGGAAAAAGTCTTCATGTTGGGAGGAAACATGGGAGAAAGCCTAACTGTGTGGCATGTGGTCAGCAGASTATGCAATGCTTGTTCTGAACCTGCATCTGATATAAAATTATTTATGTGGGAAGTAAGAGCAAAGAGATACCACAAAGTTGAAAGCGTTTGGCGCTCAACTCATGGGATCTGTGCTCTGCACTGCTGCACAGGGAAGGAGATGACAGGGTCTGCTACCAGCAACGCAAGAGCCGGGGTCCTTAACTGAAGCCACTTGTCAAGACTACCTAGAAGAGAATCAGTGTCGCCAAATTACAAGTCTCCTGCATCAGCAGCAAGACACGAAACTGGCCACGACAGTGATGCCACCAATCAGACAGTGACAGGCCTGGACACACACTCAGGACAACAACATGGCAGTCAAGCTGGAGAGCATACGGAAGTGGCAAAGGGCTCTATTTCCATGGATGCCTAACGGGAAGCACCACCATACACACAAACTGCAGGGGCAAAGAGGGAGAGCAGCCGTAGCTGCAACAGAAACGTGAAGGGAGTAGCACAAACACACACATCACGGCACACACACACAGAGCACCAGCTGCTCTCCATGCTGCCCGGCCTCAGCCTGGCCAGCAGGATGCAAGGGACCTGGATGGTTTTGGAGCCTGCTTTCTAAGCAGGCTGCTAGGGCACAGGAAGACTGCTCTCACTCTTAGGAGCAAGAAAATTGGATGCAAATGCTTGACTACAGGTCTCTAGAGTCACACAGAAGCAGGGAAGCAGTTCCCAGAGGATAACCCCACTTCCCACATACAGAAAACACTGCGCAAGAGGCCAGATCAGTCTCTGCTCTCATTCTGTTCTCCACGTTATCACAACCATTAATTTATATACGAAGAACATACAAACACAGGGAAGAGCTGAAAAATCCTTCAAAACTAGGTAGAAAAGCAAAATTCAGTTCTACCCTTTTTCAGAAAGGAAGGAAGACATCATGTTCCAACAAAAATGCACAGCACACGTCTTATGGAAAGGAAGCCTCTTCCAAACATCGAGGTTTCCTCCTGACTACGTAGCCAGGCAGCTTTGCACCAAAGCAGCGTGCATGTCATGCGACCAGTTCTGCAATATTTACCTGAGCTGTAACACTCTGAGCCTGCTGGAAATCAAGAATGTTAAGAAAGTTATGGGTTTCCTAGGTAGACAAAAAGCTATATATAAATACAGATACAAAAAAGTATAGATASATCACTGTGTGATGCTTCTCCCTGACATGTAGGGATTTTGAAGGATGTATCTGCTGGTTCTCAGTTCACAGCCTCAGAGATCACCCATTCCTACTGCACTGGGATTTTACTGTAATGTTGTCCTGTACTGGCAGCTGAGAGAACTCAGGGGTGCTTGCTGCAGCACTGCACAGGTCTGACGCAGGCCTGTACACAAGAGGCAGGCTTGGGCCAAGGCACAAAAGCTCACTCTTGCAGGCACATTTCAAAGATGTGTATCCTGGGTAAAAATCAGTAGTTCCACATATCATTTTGGGCAAAGAAATCCAGGCTTGGGTCTCGTTTGGGCAAGACACAGCAGAAGGGCAAGAATGCAGTATTTATTACAGTAATCCCCAATACACAGACAACTCCTCTGAAAAGCTCTCTTTTACACCCATCTGCTTGCATTCTTTCTAGAAACAAAGGCTCACTGAAACACACAAAGGCCAAAAGGACAGGAGAGAACAATGGACTGGTCCTTCAACATGTCAAAATCCCCCAGCAGGGGCAGAGCCAAGACTTCCACAGTGCAAAACCAAAAGATGAGATATTTCACTTACAGTTGCAAAGAAAGGCCTAGGTTCAAACCAAAGTGCCAGCAAATAAAATGAACATTCCCCTCCCAGTTGGAAGACAGGTATCTTTTGGAAAAGTCAAGAAAAGACAGTCGTCAAGTCCCTAACTGTTGCTACTCTAATCCTGGATGGCAAAGAGCCAATRCCTGAATGATGGACAGTCTTGACCTCCAGAACTAGAAGACGACCACGCACACCAAGAGTGCAGTGCAAGTGGGGAAAGGATGATCCTCCTCAGCAGGGAACCGGGGAGGGCATGGACATCAGGGATGCAGAGTGAACTTGAATATGAATTAAAGATTCCTTCCTGTCTGAGCAGTAACTCTGAAGGTTCCTCATTCCCCGTTCCTTTTTGCAGCTCAACCTTTAGCATATGTCAAAGGGGTAAAAGTGATCTCTTTGGGGTCTGCGGGGTGTCATCCACCACTGACAACTGTTCTGTGCATTTTCTATATCCAGAAGCATTCTGCACAGAACAGAGCAAGACTAGTCAGAGGTGTGTGTCACACCAGAGTTGGATTTCTAATCCACAGCACTGGCCAGTTCTCTGTGCTTCAGAGAAAAGAGGAGAAAGAAACCTCGTTGGTGCAATGCTGCACCTAGGCAGTTGTGCAAAATGTAAGAAACATGAAGATCCCACCCAAGGCTGCATTACCGTACGTGGACCAGGACAGTGGTGTGGTTTTACCCTGGGAAGGGATCCTGTTCAGGTRGGGGTGGGACAGTGAGATGGGAAAGTGGGAACTTACCTTCACTCCATCCGACTTCTTGTTCAGCAGGCTTTTGGCAGCTGTGGAGAGACACAGGAAAAGKAGGTCAGATTTGGGGTTTGAGACTCCTCTCTCTTCCCCACTTCCCTCAAAACCACGTAAGACTTCTGAAGGACAGTCACCCTGCTAACTCCTCTGTCCTACAGGGAGAGCTCGAAGACAGGCTGGGTCAGGCTTCAGATGCACCTAGGTAGCAGAGGGTGGCACATTCAGTCTATTGCACATCTGATTAGGCAGAACTGCTCCCACTCTCACTATCTTGGAAAGACTAGGTCTGAAATGAAACTTTAGATTTCTTTTATTTCAATCTATTTCAACTCACAGCGACCTCTTCTCGAAGTGGAACCACRTAGAGGGGGAAAACTAAAGAGATCTGACACATCTCTGCAGCAGGCAGTCTGTATGTAAGCACAGCCACTTACATAACAGACTTTGTCCATAAAGGGAGCACCGATAATGCAGAGGCCTCTTAATCACTGCCACAATCCACAATTACCCAGGGCAACATCTGGCATAGCAGAAAGCAGCAGTCTGAAGTGCAAATGCCAATGCCTGACAGCTGCTTTATTTTATTTTTATTTATTTATTTTTTAAATGATGTCTCTCCTAAGCAGCTGCTGAGGAGCATCAGGGTACAGGTACTTGCCGTGAATTTTAGCTCCAGSAGTGAGGAGGCCTAGGGAGAGGGAAGTTTTAAGGCAGTTCTTAGACCACTGCTGAAATTCTCAGGGTCAAGTTTAGCCAGCTCATGTAAGCTGCTTCGTTCCTCTCTAGAGCCACCGCATCATGCAAGAGATGCCACAACAAAACACTTATATAGTGGAGTTTACATTTGCAATATCCAAACAGCTGTTCAAGTCTCTGTAAAAAGTGTTTCCCATCCCACCTTCTACGACATACAACTCTAAATATATATTAAATAGACACGGACATCTGCACCAGCTCAGATGACAACAGCTTCTCCTCACAGTAAAGAGGTAGCACCTTATTTACACCTACTATCTTCACCTCTGAACTGGTCTTCCTAATTCTACTCCTTAATGCAGACATAATCCTAGATCAGGAATTGGTTTTAATTCCTGCCCTCAGAAACCACCCAAGGACATTGCAAGAAGTACTTGCAGGAATCTCCTGCATGTGATGTGCCAAAACACAACACTCCAGTGTGCACACGTTAAACTGGGAGGAGTCCCAGGCAACTCAGRTGTCCTGCACCAGTTTCCTTGCTGTGTGTACATGTACTGGAACAGGGCAAGAGGGAACCTGCAGCAGAGCTCCTGCCACCTCAGGRCCCAATGGAGATCAGCTTGATTCCACATGCATGTGAGAGGGAGAACAAGTAGCCCACGGGGTCAGAAGGGCTCCAGCATTTCTGCCACACGACATCACAGCAGTTCACACAACTGCTGCTATGTGACAACAGTTGCTGCTGAAAATACAAATTAGTCCCTAGCCTTACAGTACTGGGAAGAAGCAGAGGACTCTGCTACTTAGCAAACCATATATCCTGAGGATGACCCAGACAGCTGGGAATTAACATTTTCTGCACTTTTCGGAGTTTCCCTTGAAGCTCTCATTTGTCTCTGTGGAAAAAAAGGCACCTAAAAACACACGTTCTGTGGCGCTGCAGCAAGTTGAGCCAAGAGGCCCTTGTGTAGCTCCGTACCCYGCAGTGCTGCCCCAGTGCTGCCCCCAGCACAGCCTCCCTCCCCAGCCCCCTGCACCACAGCCCCGTCGCCTCCCAGCTCCGCGGAAAGAAACTCGGTGGTTCACGTAGCTCACACACCACACGGTGGTTTGCAAGGACAACCGGGAGGCCACARAATGCACTTGCTCACAAAGAAGGCTGCAGAGACCTCACCGAAACGGAAGGCACATCCAAATTTACCCACAGGTCAACTTATGCCTGTTACAAGGCAGAAATTAAAGACGATGCAAGAATTTCTACAGCAAGCAACAGGCAAGGCTCCCTGTAACAAGGAGCACTTCAAAGGACACACAGGGTAACCCACCATTCAGCTTTGCAAAAGAGACTACAGCTCTGGCAGTGCCCATGGGCATACAAAGCAAATCCTTTCCTGTTGAGGAAATACTCTCACATCCATGCTTTGCAGATCTCCAGGCCAGAGATACTAATCTTTATTTTCACCATCCTTCCCACTATTTTCRCCATTCTTCCCACTTTCTGTGCATTAAAGGGCTGAAATGCCCCCTTTGCAGCAGTTACAATTCCTCTAGGGTGAAGTAACACCAAGGCACAGAGAGCTAGCTCTGTAACTCAAAAGCATGGTTCTATTCCCAGTTTAACACGACACCCTTAGTTAATCTCTGATGAGAAACACAAAAGAGCCTCCCCCTCACACACTCYATATCCCCCATCCTCCTCCACAGAAAACACAGGCCCCAGCCTTGCTCCTGGCACAGATCCCTGCAGCTGGACTCGCAGATGATCGACAGCAGACAGTACCAGAGCCAGAGGCAGATGGYGGAGAGGGAAATTTCCACAGGGGCCGAAAGCACCGTCCCTAAAGGAGGCGGCAGGGCACTTCCCACCGCCAGCCCCGCTCCCAGGCCCGGCGGCAGCAGCCTCTGCCCGGCTTGCCCAGCAGGCCGGGCCCCTGCTGTCAAACCTCCACTTCCCACCTCGGCTGAGCTTCCAGATAGTATTTTGAGGGATTCTGGGATGACACTGCAGTTGCATTTGCTAAGCCCGACCAAATCACGCTGGGGTAACATAGGACAAATGAGAGAGAAGACCTTTCTTGCTTTCAGATCATTCTCTACCCCCAAACTAGACCCACACCTCCTGCCTCACCCCATGCCGCCTTTCCATCCACACAAGGACCTCAGCTCACACGTGCTAGCAGCCCACATCAGTTAAGTACTGCCTCCAAATCGGCACAGCAGCTACCTGCACTGTGTGGGGCAAGAGTTTGGCTTAAAGAAAAAAATAGCCCTTTGGCTTAAAAAAAGAATAACCCCTTAGGAACACACAGGGGTAGATTCTGGAGACCTTTCTTTAACCAAGGTGATTAACCTATGACACTAAAATTCTCCTTTTTAAGATAGGCCAGTTATAAGCATATACGAGTGCTGCACAAACCTAKCTGACTCACGTGTAGGACTCAAGGGAGAGACTTCAACATTAAGCTAGCCCTTTTACTTACAAGGTGCTGCACTRCTGAGAAAAGGAAAGAAAAAAGCTGCCTGACTTCTAAATATGTGAGAGAGACCAAAGSGGGGATGCAGGAAGGAAGTTTCAGCCCAGTGTTGTGTATTGTCGTTCTACCTCATGTCTGTGTGACAATATTTAAGTAAATGCACACACACCAACCAACTTTCATAGGCCTTCCAAGTACAGAAGCAAACAACAGAAAGCACGTATAAGGAATAAACTGCTCCAAAGTAAGGTGCCATTAAATCCTCCTGCCAAGGAGTGTGGAGTATCCAGGAACATGTTTAAGAAAGCACTATTATTGAAGACAGTATCAGTCAAATATTTTAACTAAATACCATGAGAAAACCTTTCAAAAAAACCTATGTTTCTCTGAATTGATCCTGCACTCATGGGAAGAGCCCATTGCCTCTGAAGGAGATGTTTAAGCCTTCACACACTGATGTTTGCAGTTCCAAGCCAAGGACTTCCATCAGCAAAACAACCTGTTCAGCTCTCTCATGACAGCCATTAAGGCAAAAAATACTCAGTGACTTCCAAGAGCAGAGTAGAGTTTTAGTCTTGCATTCAATACTCTGGTCCAAGCATTTTGGTCTCTGTTTCAGCAAACTCGTTCCTCCTAGATTCTCTGCTGGCTTGTTATTGGAACTTGTGGCATTAGCAGTGGTCCCTGGCCASTGCAAGGGATATTAAACACTAAGTAAGACTAACACGTAGACCATCTATTTGGATGGACCAACTGTTTCATAAAAATTAAAACAGCAACTCTTTCCATGACTGAAAATTATATATGTGTGTGTGTGTATGTATATATATATATATATACACATATATATATATATTTTTTTTTATTCTGCTTCCCATTTGTCCCACTTACACAACTACAGCACTATACCAAAATTATATATATATATATATATTTTTATTCTGCTTCCCATTTGTCCCACTTACACAACTACAGCACTATACCAAAATATACGTGAGCACCAGGCAAGGAGCAAGCTCTGCTGCGAGAGTGCAAGCTCCATTTAACATTTCCCCTTCCTCTGTCTGTCTTCCCCGAGGGCTTCTATTCTTCAACAAGGCTACAGTGATTCTGTTCAAGGAATTATGACAGGGTAAWGAAAGGTTCACGGAAAGCCCTTGGTCATTTCTAAACACTCTGTTAAACAGACAGAGTGGGAAGGCTGGAACCAGGAGGAAAGGCATTACTCTCACTGGAGAGGAATAGAGAAATTGTACAGAAGTTTCTTCTTTGTTTTGCTCTCCCTGCCTCAGAAAACCAAAGCATTTTCCATAAAGGATATTTACAGAAAAAAAGGGAAGAAGAAAAAAAAATCAGTTAAGGTTTCCAAAGACCTTTCTATCACAGCAGAAATTTCACAGCCTGAGACAGCCCATTTGCAGATGCACACTCACACATGCACACACRAGGAGAGCTTTTACAGTTGGGGCAGTCTGAACACCCATCCTAGACCTTCGGGACTGAATGCCCCAGTATGTGCTGAATTYAAGACTCCATAAAATGGCAAGAGCACCTAATTTGTAGTATTATAAAACCTCCACTCCCTGCCAAACCAAGAAACRAAGAGGTGAAGGGCAAACACTATGAGAAAAAGCATTCAGAGAGTTCTCATGAACTTCACARAAAGGAAGATAAAGTTTAAATGATGAGTTATCATCATTTAAATACACTGCTTCTGATGATGCACTAGACTCTCATACACAGTAATAAGCACTAAAACTCATGAGATTCTGGGAAGCAAAAGGGAGGTTTACTTACCCATCAAGTACATTAGTTCAGCAAGTCCATGCTGTAGAAGCTGTGCATCATTTCCCGAAATCCCTGACTGTTTCTTAAGCAGTTTAATACATACAGACAAACTACTCAAAAAAAAMCCTTAATTTTTCATTAATTGCAATCTCATCTTCTGCTTGAGAAATATAGTTCCCACTGGTGATCTCATATTATTAATTTATTCAAAACTCTTTAGAAACTTGTTGGTAAATTCCCCTCTCTACTTTCACCCTTTGACTTCACACCATGAAGTTAGTATTTATATGAATCAGACTCAATTTCTTATCTTGGATGAATATCTACACAACAACACAACAGATATATTTCTAATACATCCTTTGCACAATTTTAACTTTCCTTTGGTTTAATGAAAGAACCTAAATTCYACTCTGAGCATAAATATAACATACACGTATATACACGCATGTGTATCTCTGTGTRTCTATGTACATGTATATCTATGTTTTTGTGTGTGTGCGCACATATATATATAAATATGCGTGTGTGTGTATAGACAGACACATACACATGCTAGCAAAAAATGCACCCTCACAGGCACTTCTGGAATGTCAGTTCAGCAGAACAATAAAGCGCTTCAGTGCCATTTTATTATTCATATTATTTCATTCTTCTTGCTCTTTAATCAGCTCAAGACTATTATGATACAGGTTACATTTGCCAGCTTCTCTAAGTAGTTACAAGCACTTAAGTCCCTGAATCTTCCTCTAACCTCTCCCAACTTCACCAAACTGTTTAATGAAACTAAAACTTCACATTTATGAAGGTCAGTAAGGATCTATAGAAACGTGATGAATTCCAGCTACTGGCTACCTCTCAGAAGAGGATTCAAGAGTTTCTTGTACGTGATCTAATCAGAAGATTTACTTCATAGAACATCTATATTCTATCTTTCCACTTACAGATCAAATCAGCATTTGCTCATATATGGCTCAATGTTCAAAAGATTCAATATCTAAAGTATTGTATGTGTAGGCTGTTACAACCTCAAAGACCCCATATCACACTTTACAGTGTAATGTTCTCTCTCCCAGCTGTGTAAATAGTTACCAGAGAGGGAACAGGATCTCCAAGCTCTTTATTAGGACTAGGTCTCAAACATTCCCTAACTTAACGCTGAAGGAAGAATAATTGTGCTTGCTTTTAATATACAGTCTACAGTTGACTTAAGAGTCTTAAAAATAAGTCAATATTACATTGTCAAATATATTATAGCTGTGCAAAGGAGCCAGATCACATTTATTTATCTTTAAGAACTGATCTGGGACAGAAGAAACCTATAAAGAGATGTAAAGATTACTCACAAATAACAGAAACTATTTTTTGGACAAAGATTTATTTTTATTATTTTCTTTTTTAAAGAAAAAAAGAGTACTACTTCAGACCCTGAGCTTCATACCTTTAAGCGTACAGTTGTCACAAGCTAAAAGTACTCTGCCAGATGAAGCAACTTCACGTTACAAAATATTTCACAGGASATAGTGATGACAACAGGATAAAGAGGGCTTCTCATATTGCCCGCATATAGTCCTATCACATGTAATTAAGTGATACAGGGTCACATGAGAGCTTTTATCCTCTAGGTTAAAAACATCTGTGAAGAAACTGTTAAAAAATCTTGTCCCTGGACAGGAAGAAACTTCTCTTCTAAAAAGCATAGGTTTCTGTCCATTAGAAATGGGGCTTTTAGAAGTCCACAAAATAGGGTCACCCAATTAGAAAAATGAGAGACCATTAAGGTCTTTAGGGGAGGAAACAAGCAGCATTTCAAGGCATTTCAAGTGATATTATGTGACCTGTCACAACAGGAGAAGCCTAAATTTTAAGCARATTTCCAAAAATTCGTAAATTTGTAGGAAAAGTAGGAAGCAAAAGACTTCCTACTTCCTTACTGTGAGTTACAGTGCCCTTATTCCTCACTTCCGGCAAGTTTATTTGTTTAAACTGCAGCAATTAAAAAAAAACCCAAAAAATCAAGAAAAAAAAAAAAAACAACAAAAAGGCCAACTTAAGAATAATGATAATAAAAACAAGCCCATATCACCCATAGTTCCCCCAACAAAAAGAAACATGCCTGTCTCTTCCCTTTCAAAGGGCATGAAAATATCAGGAACAGCCACTAGCTACAGAGGCTATCAACACCTTGCATCTAAATTCACAACAATTCCTTCTGGCCATTCTTTTTCAGAGCATCTCATTACCCGGGATCACAGCTTATATTTAAAGCAGAGTTTAACACCACCAAGAGCTGGGCACTCGGTACAGGTCACCTAGGATTTCCTCCTCTTGAGCTGGTAACTGATCTGCATCCGGCAGCGCCAGCCCTGCAGATACAGGGACAGAGCGGAGCAAGCCCAAGCMTTTCCCTTCTTGCTTCCAGCTCAGGCAATGAACGGATCCATAGGTCACACACCATTAAGAAGAACTCTTCTCGCAGGCATTTCATGTACTCAAAATCTGGGCCACAAGAGATTTTCTTACCCAAGCACTCCTGCAGCTTCATTAGAAGTGACATTTGTAGACTAAAAATGAGTCTAGACCTGCTGTTTAAAAATATAAGAAAATACCAACTATTTCAGAATCATCAATTAAGTGAAATAAAACTAGCTCTGTGAAGAGATCAAAGCCTGTTCAAGCCAGTAAAGAGCAGAAAGCCCAAGAGAATATTAAAAGCTTCCTACGGTTCTGCTGAAGCCCTGCACATGCGCTATAGCTCTTCAAACAGTTAAATTATTTTGGAATCATTCTCAGAAAACACTGTAGCATTCTCAGTATAAAGCATAAGGCAATYCTCAGACAATCAAATGGAGAAAATGATTCTCTTCTTTTAAGGTCAAACTATCAGAAACGCAGTAAAGAAAAACTGCCACTTACTTGTTGTATAGTTCTAATATAGTTCACTTTAAAACAAGAATCAAGGAGAAATAATCTGGTAGTTGCTATGAGCTATCCCTTCATTGTGCCTTATTTTCAAATTCTTTGCTTTTATTTAAAGATCACCACCAACACGATCCAGAAGAGCAGAGGAGAASAAAAATCCTGTCTTGATTTCACAAAAGATTGTAAGCATGAACGTGCATTTGAATGGAAGGGTGGTTATTTCACTGAGGCTTTCCTTTAAGTTAGAAGTTAACTGCATCACCACACAGGGGAGAAGTATTGGTGTTCATTAAGTATGGCCAGATTAAATTAATACACTTCCTTTTCATTCAYCTTTGCTTCCAGTCCATACAACACTTTCACCTGAAAGTAGCTGCAGTCAGGTGCAAAAAAATCTAATATGTGGACTCAGCAATTGTTCTACCGGTGCATTTTACAAGTGAAAAACAATGCCCAAGAGGGCAAATAAATGAACAGCACTTGCAGTAGATGCTTCCCACCCAAATGGCAAGGAGCACAGATGAGAGTGCAGCACATCAGTGTGCTGAGCCAAAACAACCATCTTCCAAAAAGCACTGATTTGCATGGTTAGACTGTGTTTTCAGTAAGCGCACTACGTAATGCAGTTGGGTGGCAGCCAGACTGCCATTTGTCAAGCTTGAAGGGATGAAAAAACACTTCTGAGATGCCAGGAAGGAAAACCCTAATAGCTAGATGTTTCAGATCCCTTTTTGTTGAGTCTAAGTAATGCGACACCCTAATAGCTCCTGTCCCCATTCTCACCAGCATTGTTACTTGCCCTGGGCCCCTGCCTCAAGTCTAAATAACAAACGGCAACTACAATTTCCCAAATGTGAGCTACAAAAACACCCAGAAAACACCACGGGGGTACTGCGGCAGCTGACTTTGCCCCTGCTTTGCACCACACTGCAGTACATGTGCTCCCTCCTCAGCTATTCCCTCTCCTGCGCACGCTGGTCAGCAGCCGAGATGAAGTTACCGTCATTACGCCACGCATTCTCAAGGGAGAGTTTCATCCTCTCCCGCTGAACCCCCAGAAGGTTAAAATATACAGCGACTCACACACACACGTGAAACAAAACCAGGGAATGGTGAAAACTTACCTGAAAAATTCCGAGACACAAGCATTGTTGTGAGGATTGCGCCCTGTGGGAAGAGAGAGCAGGGATAACAGAGCTCCACGCACGGCAGGAGGGGGCTGCGCGGAGCCACACGCAAGGGAGGGCTCCAGGTGCCAAAGAGAGGCAGCCCAAGGCTACCCCGAAAAGGCCTTGGGTAGCCACATCCCAYATGGGGCTGCTGCATCTCACACGGTGCTCGCAGACACTCTTGCCTTCCTGAGTGACAGCTGGGGACCAGGCAGGACAGCCTGGTACACGTAAAATGGCACTAGCAGTTATGTTTAGAGACAGCTTCTTTCTGCCTTTTAAACAGCAGATAACTGCTCCATACGGGAGCTACAGGCTTCTCCCTAGGCAGCAGCAGGTATCATCTCACACCCTGCTAATGGGAGGCAGAGATTGTCAGATTTAGCACCAGAATTTAAGAATTAATTGCTTTATTTCAACTCTAATGAGGGAAAGAAGGGGTAAATATACAGCACAAAAAATGAGAGGCCAGAGAAACTTACTGCTTTGGAGAAGGAAGCTATAGAGCTCCTCCATATATACTACTTTATTTCCCTGTACTGGAAGACCACATAAGGTACCTGACTAATGAACCTGAGTAATCATAGTGAGGGTTTTTTTTTTTTTTTTTTTTTTTTTTAAATCAAAAAAACTGTTTCTAGGAAGGCACTAAGCTCAAATTCAGATAACTAATGTAAACAAGACTCCAAACTATGATACACTCACCTTTAGCTTCCTTCTAGCATTGAACTTTCTCAAGCATTCCACAGTCTCCTGCCTGTGCATCATTGAAGCAACAGTGGACCGTTGCTGAAAGACAAGACCAAGAAAAGATCAGCAACATCCTTAAACAAATCAGCAAGCAAAGTTCTCTCTAGAACCTGCACACAGCATGAACTGTAAACCAACGTGCATGGCTGAGCCGTGTATGGCTGCAGTGGCTTCTGCATGGTTGCAAAATGCTGCAGCCAGTTTATAACTTACAAACTTACTAACAGCAAAAGGTTTTGTCAGGATGGCTAATACAGCTCCGTGCCTGAGGCGCTGTGACTGAGGGGAGGCACTACAGGTAAGGTCTAGACTGTATTAGTAACAGCTCCAAAGCACAACACCCAGCAATAAGGAAATACTAGTGAGGGGTGTCCTTTTGGCATGGCAACTCAGTGAATCCAGGGGCTTCAGATAACTAGCAGAGGGCTCAGCATCTTTGCACCAGTTTTGCAGTAACAGATTTTCAGTATGTAGCAGGGAGGATCCTATGGCTCTAATGTTTCATTGCRAAACCCTGAGCACGACCTCCAGCTAGGGATGCACATCTGTCACGCTCGGCAGCCTGGGATCCCATCAGCTGCAAAAAGAGAGCTTCCCAGAAGTGTTGCCAGTCATTTTGAGCACACGAGGAAACCAGAGACTGATGCTGCCCGTCATTAACAGCACACGAGAAAGCCAGGGACCAATGCCAAAGTAGCTGTTGCTCTGTGTAGAGCTGCAAGCCTGAATTCCCTTTACAAGGACAGTGGGTGAATGACTAACTTGGCAGACTAGGGTGTACAAACCCTCTATTGCTTCTCTCCTGCTTGGAAAAAATATATATCTTTAATAGCCAAGAGAACTGCAAATCACACCCAGCTGCATGGGAAATACCTGCTTCAATCCTGCTTTCAAAGCTCATGACCTGCTGCAGAACACACTAGTTGTGYGGGGAGGGAGAGGGAGCAGCGAGCCTGTTCTCTAAGCCCCTCGATGGCCACAGCTCACGCAGCCTCCTTGGGCACAAAAGTGCTGCCCAGATGTTCAACTCGCCTCACAAGGGCCAGGACATACATTGTAGAAGCCTACAGACGCTATGACAGTGCCTCAGTTGAACACTCAGGACCTGCTACTGCATTTACTTTGGAGGAAAAACCCATTTCCAGGGAGAAAATGKATGTTGCATACATGAAATTCCCATGGAAAACACAAACAGGAGGCTCTGCAACAGGCAGTTTGCGTGAGAGAGCGAAACGGCTATGAAAGCAAATCAACCAAATCCCCTTTCAGGGATGAAAAGACTCTGTTCTTGTTATGTTGCCACGGGGAGGGAGCTGTAATGATACATGTGGCTTTGGTTTCATGCATTGGGGGGGGAAAAAAGGCCRAGAAGATGGGAACTGTTATTGATTACAAGCTTGAGCAAAAAGGAAAAAAAAAGAAAAAGACGCCCAAAGCCTGAGTTAATGTAAAGTTCTGACTTACAAGGAACTCACATCACATGACAGCAGAAGCCACAGTACTGTTACACAGATGTTCACAAATACAAATTTAAATTGCTAATTTGCTATTTTACAGCAGAAGGAAAAACTATCAGTTTCTCAAGAACAAACAAGCTAAGGAACACATCTTTAAAACAACCTAAAAAAGCAAATGTACGCTACAGCATTGCAAGAGCATCTGGTTAGACTTAGGAGAAGCCATTTCATCTTGCTGAGGAGAAAAAAAAAAAGTGGTGCTGCTCTGCAAACCTCGCTGCGTTCCAGGATTTCCTTACCAGCTTGCAAAATATCCATCTGAGAGGCCTGGAAAGGCGAAGCTCCATAGAATAGCAAAAAAAACTTGCTTGCAGGTTTGCAGTTAGTTACCTTAGTTACCTGTCACACTACAGAAGTGTTCCAAAATGGCAAAGATGCAATRCAACGGACAGAAGGAGAGATGCAGAACAAAATAATCCTAAAATATTTTATCTGATCCCAAACTCCATCTGACATTGCAGGATGATTTGTATTGGAAGTGGAGATGAGGGGAAAAACAGGAACTATAGACATCCAAGAAACTGTTCTAAGTAGTGATTTTTTTTTTGTTCCTTACAGTCACAATAAAAGAACCAAAAAATTATGAAGTTATCTTGCTCGCCTCCCAAAATCACAATTCAAGTATTTAAAAATTCTGGCCTAAAGAGTAAGCCACAAACCAACCTGCAACAGAGGAACACACTTACGCAGACCCATGGATGCTTGAGAGCCTGGTCAGCTGTGATGCGCTTTGCTGGGTTTATCGTTAGCATTTGATTGATTAAATTCTTTGCTTCAGGAGTCACAGTGTCCCACTCAGGTGACGGGAACTGAAAGAGGAAGAAGAAAGAGATGATTAACTCAAAATCTCTTCCCCTGTCAGCAGGAGAGATTTTCCCTCCCACACAGCTGAACTCCCAACTCTTCCCCTTTTGTTACCAGATCTAACATATTTGAACAACAACAGCAAAGTAAAAGCCTGAACTGAATGAAAATTCAATAGAAAACAACATATGAACAGTACCAGACAGCAGGACATACCTGGACCATTCAGCAAATACAGACAGGAAGACTACCAGCTTTAAAAGCCTTTAGGATTCAGTCAGACCYTGAACTGCATTCATACTCACCAGTCAAAAAAGCACAGTCATAGATCTTTTTAACTGAGTTGTGACATGAAAAACAAAGTATTATTTTTTCTTAGCTCATCTTGCTCTTTCTCTAGCATGTTAAAAAGCTATAACAGCATATATAATACTACAAACGTTTAACTATAGGGCAAACTTTGTGCAAGCAACAGCAGCTAACACCCAGCAGCCCATCAGGTATGCTTTCCTCAGCACTAAGTGCACTGTAATGGAACAACACCAAACATTTAGGTGTAAGCAAGGCATCAGAAAGCTGTTAGCAAGCTTCTACCATACCAGAAATCATTGCTTGCCAAGCAAGAGAGATGCAAGACTGGATGGGAACATAGAAACACGGAGACAAAGAACAGAACATCAAGTAATTCAGCTGCTGATCACTCATGAGGGGTAACTGTGCTTCCCTTCTATAGTKCCAGTAATGATAAAGATATTTAAGATGTTTATTTAAATATATTTAAGCCATCCTCCAGATGCCTGGATATGGTACAGATGACAGTACGATGAGACTAATTGCAGTATGTCTCACTCCTAGGAACCCTACAGATGAACTTGGGAGCACAAAGATAAATACTGGTGTGTTAAAAATTCACTATTTTAAAGGCAGAAGGCAAGGAGGGGGCAGGAGGAGGAATAAAGAAGATCAATCCACACTGAGAACATTTCCTAATGGTACCACAACTCTCACAGAAAGTTTAYTCCAGCTCTCTCCTGCATGTTGTGCTTCGCTCAGTTGGGTCATGAAAATATACTCATCATACTCAATTTGCATATAATCTTTCTTCTGCATTCCCAGGCATCAGCAAAGCATTATACAATTTGTTCTGCAAACATTGCAAGGGACTGTTTAAAAACCATAATATTGAGCTTTCAGTCAGGACACTTCCCACCCTTCCACKATCTCAGACACCTTCCTGGTGGCACCTGGCAAAACCCCTCCTGAACAACACGAGGTCTGGCTCGTGGCTACCACTCCCCTCTGGGTTGAGAGATAACAGTGCAGGACACAGAGGCCCTACATGCTGGGGTAAGGACTCAGCTGCGTGCAAGCCAGTACAGCACCAGCTCTTCTCTGCCAGGCAAAACTGGAACTCGTTCATTATATATAAGAATACAAAAAACAACAGGAAGATGAATTACAGGAGGTGTCAGGATTAGGCACTTAACTCTCCATTACTTGCAAAAAAAGAGAGTCAGACATCTAATCCCCAAAGTACTTTGAAAATCCACATCTATATAATTAGTGCAAAAACACTTAAAAAGAGAACAAGCAACACAGGAAGAACACAGAAACAAGAGAGGCAGGAAGGCGAGAGAAGAATAGAAGTCCATTTAAAGCTCTCAAAGACATGACTTTGCTCTCACTCAGGAAGCCACGGAGGCAGGACAGGGGCCAGGCAGACACCAGCTCTCACCGCACACGCCACTCGGGCACAGAGGGTGGCTGCAACCCGGGCTGCAGCAGAAGCCCAGCTTGCTGGGCATCGTCACCCCAGGGGCCGCCTGCAGAACGAGCTCCCCAGCTGCCCATGGGTGCCCACAGCTTTCGAGCTGCAAGTCCAGGAGTTTCTTCCTCCTCCTGAGCCTTCTCACATTATGTCACACATCTACATTTCTGTCCCCATCCAGGTCAGGTTTTACCTCATCTTTGCTCCCAGTTCTAACCTCCTTGCTGCTCCTCTCCTCCAGAACCTTCTTACACCTCAGATGGCCACGCTCCAAGATCTACCCTAGCACCTGCCTGGCTTCTTCCTGGAGCCTCAAACCCAGTATGTTGATCCCCACCACCAAGGCCCCAGCCACTCAGTCTACTCCCAGGGCTCCACACTTTCCAGAGCTGCAGGAAATTCCACTGTGGAGCAGAGGAGAGCCAAGGCTKTAATTTAAGCTCTTAATTCCTTAGAACACTTCCTCACTTTCTGTGAGGCCTTGATAAAGACAGACTTTCATTCTACTTTGCTCTGCCTGAAAGAGTTGATGTTGGTAATGTCTTTGGGACTTGGCTATGGTAAATGCAGTAGAAGATACCCATGATCTTCACGTCCAGTGCTATTTCCCTAATGACCAGCAGTGTCTTGATGCCCACTGCACATCCTTTTAGCAGCCCCTGGCAGTGACAGCAACAAGGTGTACACACACACACACACACACACACACACCCCCCAAACATCACCACTTTGCAGTGTAGCTCAGGGCTACACTGCTGCTGCACACTGAGACAGACCAGAGCATGTTTTGGGTGACAAAGTGATCAGTTTTACAGCTTCTACACCCACGCAGGCAGTCAGCAAGAAAGCGCCCTTACGTCATAGGCTCCGGCTTTGATCTGCTGATAGAGTTTGTGCTGATCCTCATCCCAAAAGGGAGGGTATCCCACTAGTAATATGTACAGAATCACTCCTGGGGGGGAGACACACAGACACACACTGTGGTTAGACGAATATAACAAATGCTCCTCCAGCCCCTCTTTCTCCCCTCTTTGACTCTCCCCAAGGCAACGACTGCTCTGCATCTCCATTTGCCACCACACTTGGTCTCATGAGGTGTTGGAGGCCAGTACAAAGCTCTCCTTTGCTGAGCCTTGCCCTGGCTATTCACGTTCAGCTCTTATCCCCTGTGGCCAGGGCAAGAACGTGGTGCTGGGCATCCCTACACCCTCCTCCCCGCCGTGGCCATCGTAKCTGCTGAGCCACGAGGACAACCCAAGCCACATCCCTGGGGACTGCTGGCACCAAGGGACTTCTCAAACAGCTTTTTAGATGTTCATTGTGCATGCTCTTGGGACAGAGAGCCACCRACAAAACTAACACTCCTGGCTTGTAAAGACACATTTAGTCCATGTCAGGCAACACGGACACCRCATAGCTTTAAACTTATCAGTCCCAGATACGTTTACACTTTGTTTCTAATTTCCTTTCAAAAAAAAAAAATCGGCTCCTTTCAATATTTCATTTTCTGCATAGTCTGTGTAATAGAAAATGGCTACAGACCTAAATAACTGACTCTTCACAGGCACAAACAGTTCTATCCTGAGGCTCCAACATGCAATAGGTGGAGTGAAAAAAGGATCAGGAGCCAAAAATCAAATTAATTCAGGCTCCAGTACTATTTCTGTCTACACAAAGTGCTTATTCCCAGTATGTCTTCATCTACCCACATGTCAAGAAGGAGCACCGCATTCCCTCCCAGCACCGGATTTCAATGAACTGCTCCTATAAGCAAAAAGGTGTGGTGCAAATGTAAAATATTTGGATGGAATCTTACCACATGCCCATATATCCACCGGTTTTCCATACGGATCTTTTCTTAAGACTTCAGGGGAGAGGTAGCCTGGAGTGCCAGCAAACCCTGCCAGGAAATGGATGACATGAAGTACTCACAGTCCCCAAGCAGAAAAGACATGCTGTGATATTACAAAATCCACTAACAGCATCCAACAAAGTTCAAAACCCATCCCCCTGCCCCATACATATCTGCCAGAGACACAGACTCCTCTGGTAGGCCAGCAGAAATGGCAAAGCACGGAGTGGGCTAAGCATCGATGCAGTGCTTAGCGAGGCAAAACGAAAAAGGGACCTGTCACGCAGCTGGGCACAACTCCACTCCGGGCCACATACACGACTTGCCATTTGAAGATACTGGATGTAGATGGAACACAACCCATTGCCACATGGCGTGGGCAAACCAGGAGGAGCAGCCATCCATCCAGGGTCCCCACAGCACTGCAGAATCTCAGAGCTGTCTATAGCCTGAGAAGGTCTCATTCCTAATTCTGTTTTACCTAAAGATAAGGCCAGATCCCAATGTGCCTGAGGAAGGCCAGATCAAACATTCCAAACAATATTGCACATATCAAGACTCCTGAGCAGTAGGAAAATTTGGAACAGGGTCTAAACTTAGTGGCTGCTTTCATCACTAACACTAGCATCTACTGAACACCATGAAGAAAAATAGAGAAATAAACAGTCAAAATCTCTGCCTGTACTTATCACATTCTTTCTTCTCTCACTTGTGCTTAAGGATTTGGTGGCTGGGATCCTGGGAGAGGTAGTAGTAATGCCAAATACATGCAAGCAAGCTGCAAGAGCTCGGAAAAAATACTCAGCGAGACTGCAAACCAGCCAGGCTCCAGAAAGGAGGTGAGCAGAAGCAGTAACACTCCAAACACTCTTACCAAACCAGGCCTGCTGCTCTCCCTGCACTTCTATGGCCAGTCCGAAGTCAGCCAGTTTGACAGCAGCACCCTTACATTTACTTGCCAGTAGCAAATTCTCAGGCTGGGAAGAGGAAAGAAGAAAGAGGGTAAGAATGAAGGACTGATAATCCTCTTTAAAGCCTCCTGCCTCAGTATTCCCATCATTTAAGTTGACTGAACTTAGCAGGCACACAAATAAAGCTGTTTAGACTAAGGGAGAGCAAGAGCAACTCACAGCCTTGCCCTACACCGGCAGAAAATTCTCGTTCAACACAAGTTCTCCCCTCTCCCTCCTCAAATCCTCTACAGGAGGCAGAGTCATGTGCTGACAGCAGAGGGCACTGGCAGCACAGCTCCTGCAGCAGAGGATCCCAAATTGGTTTCTGCTATCTCTGCAGAAAGCGGGGAGGGGAAGGAGATGCAGCAGATACTCTGCTGCAGACACATAGTGATGTTTCTCCCCACAAACATTACATTGGCCCCAAGGCACTGGGAAAGTAAATATGACACTAATAAGGGCTGCCAAACAGTGAGCTGTTATGCGGAAAGGCATCATCTAGATAGGCAGTAGATTTCATCCCTTGCAGAAAAAGCCTCAGTCTCAAATTAGCATAAACAGCACAGCAATAAGTGGTCCTGTAAGCTCTTTTTCCAGGCTATGAATCCTCATTTACAGCAGCGTAAAATGTGCTGCTTTGCCACTGCCTCTCACCTACACCACGGACAGCCAATGCTCTCTTTGCAACTCCAAAGTCTTGGGCGCGGAAGCTACTGCAGCTCAACAGTAACTCAAACTYAACTCGGGGACAGGGACAAGCCAGGACAAGCCAGGGGTTGTTATCCTACCCGYTTCTGAAAATGTGTGCAATCCACGCGTCAGCTGGTTTTCTAACCTAGCAAGGTACAAGCCTGGAAGGGCTTGGTGTCGGTTTTGCAGCTTTGGGGGAGGTYGTGTTTGCAGCCTGCTCCCATTCTCACCCCACTGTGAGGCTCCCCCACTGTTCTGCCTGACAGCAATAGGTGCTTGCCTCATTCACCTGCCTTTGAGCTGGGCTCTGCTGGGCCTGAGCCTTGACTTTGCTTTGAATGAAGACAAAGCAGCTCTGCCTGTCCCAGGCCCTGTTGTTAGCAGCATGGGCAGAAGGGTACGATACATTTTACTGCCTCTGGCTCTTCGCTATACTGGGAGAGGAGAAGGYTGTGTTAATTAAGCTACAGAGATGAAAACTCACCAGCATGAACAAGTTCCTACACTAAACCCTCCCAGATTCAGAYCACGCCTGGGCTTGGCTTGACCAAGAAACAGTGAAATTTAAGCCTGACATGCTAGTTAAGCACTACTTKCCTCTAAAAGACATCTACTACCACCTAATGGTGCTTATCCATGCACATGTTTGCCAGCCTGTGGTTTTATCTGCTCTTGGGTAGGTATGTGAATACACACATGTATGTGAATACATACATGCCTCTATGGGCAGCGCAATGTTTGAAGCCCTTTAACAGCACGTCAGCCAAAAGAYCAGCTCAGAATGAGGTGCAGAAGGCAAAACTTTGAACGAGGTAAGTTCTGCAGGTATTAAATGCTGATCCTGAAGGCCAAGCTTTTGGCAAAGAGCTAGAATATTAAAGAGCACAGCAACATTTATTGCTAAAAAGAATGCCTATTCCTCAGGCTGGGCCAATTTCAGTCAATCAATACAAACAATAGAGGAAGCACATTAACTGTGAGAGGATAGTCTAACACGTGATAAGCTTTAAAGATCACAACTTTAACAGAAACAGAACTTGAGGAGCAAAACAGACGGTGTCTTCCTGAGTGCACCACCTTGCACACAGAAACCTCACACCACCCTGTCGCCGAGGCCACCACCGGCTTCCACGAGGGCCTCCCTAGTGCAGCCTCTCGGGGGTTGCCTTCCTCAAGAGCAGCATCAGCTSTAATGCAGGTCACTCTGAGTGCTCCACAGCAGACCCCCTGCATCTTCTCACAGTGCTCCGAGCCAGAAGGCCAACAAGGCATTGCAAGAGAATTTGCCAGAACCATTAAGGGCAGGGCTGACAGTTGCTCACTCCATCAAAACACTGGGGAAACACTGCCACTGCACTCACAACATGCATTTGTCACGCTCTCTGCAAAGTATTTTTGTACCTTTCTGTATGTGTTCTACAACAAACCATCACTAGGAGCAGGTGTCACCCCGCATTAATTTAACTGGAGCACTGGTGGCCATCACCATTCCCACTGTAGACAGAGAAGGCTGCAGGGCAGACCTTCCTGCACAAGGCTTTTCATTCTGGAGCCTGCCCAGCTCCCAGTACAACTGGCACCGTGTGGGAAGGGAGTTTAAGTGACTCCACTGCTGGGTTTCTGGGTCTATAAATGTGTTAGAACATGGCAAATGGTCAATTCAAACAGTGTTTAACCGGCCAGCACTTTCGCTTGTAGATTAAAATGCTTCTACTGATGAGGATGGATGAAAATTTCTTGTTGTGCATCCCTATCCTAGCCCAATGGCATGTGTTTGGCAATTCAAGTGCAGAATAAAAATATACATGTTCTRTGTAGACAAACTCATCTTGGCAGATTGAACAGAGAGTGCCCCGGGTCTCTAGATATCCTTTCAACAACAGACTAAAAAGAATCCTTCATTCTAATGAATCCTACCCAAATTTCTGTGAAGTATATCAGTCCCAAGGACCACCACTATCTTATCCTAAAGTTGCCTCACAGAGACCGACAGCTGGGCAGGTTCATGAAGTTCAGACCCAAAACTTCCTTGGGAGACCAGCATAATCTCTGGAAAAATCAGAAATAGCAAGTTCAGGGACCTCTGAGCCCWGTTCAAATAAAAAGAAGAAAAAAAAAAAGAGAAAAAGAAAAAAGGGGCCTTGCCAGCTGGCAACACATTATTCCCCTTGCACTGATCCCCTGGCTTCTCTCCTCAGCCTTCGCGGCGCGGAGGAAACGTTACCTTCAAGTCCCTGTGCACGATATCATGCTGGTGAATGTGATTCACACTCTCCAGTATCTGATGAATACAGTGGCTGCAAGATAAAGGGAGACACAGGGTTACACACACATACACTTGACATCTCAGCCCAGAACTGTTTCCCTAACTTGTACATTCACCTCCTTCCCAGCTGTGACAGGATCTCAAAGCCTTCGTCCTGCCTCCCATCACTACCTTCCTTTCTCCCCTCATATGACTTATCCCATCTGTTTTTTCAGCCAATTTCTTCATGTAGGAGAACGGAGACACCTGCAAACCAGCAGGGACTGCTGGTTTATCTGCAAACTCTCAGCAGCTGAGATGGGGCAAACAGGGCCAAACCGCTCCAGGAAACATTTAGTCGGGCTAGTCCAGAGCAAAGAATGAACTTTTGGAAAGCAGCAGCCCCAGCAAAGTCCTGGGTTCCTGCCAGGTTGCAAAGCTTTCAGAGCAGCATCTCAAGCACTTGCATACACAGCGTGTGCACACACCCGCTTGCTGGGTGCCTTTTAAGTACAGATCCCACTTAAGGGGCCAGTGATCCGAAGGGCAGGCTCATTCCCACATTCCCACCGCGTGTGCTGCGCTGCATCCCCCCAACTCATGGAAAACTGTCGCCTCTGCTACTCTCACCGCAGCAACCACCTAGGGAAAAGACATGTCATTAACACCTGTCACACAAGGACAGCACAACATTCCCATGGTGAGATTTCTGGAACAAATCATCTGCTACAACCTTCCTCAGCTCCCCCGACAAAGCTGCTAAAGCCTAAGTACATATGTGATATCCTAACAAAACACTCCTCGGAACACGGAAGGGAGCAGGGATTTTGACAGCTTGCACAGCTGGGCAGTRAGCAAGCAGATGTGGGCAACTCGGTCCGTGTCCGGTGACAATTCCCGCTGCAGGAGCGACACATCTCCCTGCTCAACTTCCTGAGCCTCAGGGGAAAAAAACTGAACTGAGCAAAATGTGTCAGGGAAAGGAAATCTGCTACTGGAAAAGAGGGGATGAGGGTGAAGGGAGGAAGAGGGGAGCATGTGCAACACAGTGGAACTGTCACTCCCCGCTTCCCGAGYTGGCAGTATAATCCTCAGGGTAGCAATCCATGAATATCTCCCTGCTCCCAAAACAAAAAATGTATAATTAGAACAGAGCTGAGTCTGAGCGAGAGACATTTTCTGGCCAAAAATGGCAAAAGTGTGAGGTGTCCCAGGCGAGCCAAGCGCGGCGGGTTGGCACGGACCTCGCTCCCTCGCTCTCCCAGCCTGCTCTGGAATTCAGCTCGGCACTGGGAGAGAAAGGGAGGAGTTTCACTCAGTCATCTTGTGGGCACTGCAGGGCCCGGCCAGCTGAAAGCAAGGGCTGAGCGCCCTCAGGAAAGCAGACACTCCCTTTCCCCTAACCTACCGCTAATTCCCTGGATTCCCAAGGTCCTTCACTGCCGGCTCCTGAGCGTTCTGGGGAACAGAAGCAGGCAAGAGAGGCTGAGGAAAGGAAGGCCATAACGCCAGAGCTGCCCAGCCTCATGGCAAAGAGGGTCGAGTGCCTGTGTGCGTGCGAGAGACCCTGTGCCAAGAGCCTGCACAGAGCACAGCCCTGCTGAAAACACCCCCAGGCCTCTCCGTCAGGAGCTGCCTTGCACACAGCAGCCACGGGATGCGACGCTCCGGGAGCTGCCTTGCACACAGCAGCCACGGGATGCTCCGTCAGAGCATCGCTTCCTCCCCTCTGCGCCCGCAGCTCTCCCTGTGCCCGCTCCTGTGGAGATGAGTATGGCATGGGCAGGCAGGTGCAGAACAGGCAGAGTAAAACACCATAGGCCATCCCTAGGCTCCGCCAAAGCCAAGCAGAAGCTGCCTAACCCCAGGCTTGATTCCAAACACTCCATGTCCATGAAGTGGAGAGGCCGGAGAGCACCCTGGGCTACTGCTGCACCAACTGCCCACCCACCTAAACAGCACAGCCTGTTAGAGRGAACTTGCAGCCGGCAAGGGAGGAATCCAGAAGGGAAGGGCAGAACTTTAAAGCTGCTTAGTATCAAAATGCCAAGGCCACTCTCGGACACTGCGCCTCTTCTCACTGCACCAGGGAGCTGAGCGGCACAAAGGGCTCTCAGAAACGTGGCCTCCCCCCAGGAAACTCTGACCWGGGCTCAGGGAAGTTAACAAGAGCTGCCCAAAAGGCAGAGCACGTCCCTGCAGTCCCAGCACAAGGAGGCAGATCCGCAGCAGGCTGCACAGCTCTGCCCTGAGTGCACTCGCTGAGGGCGCCCTGTCAGCACCCAGACACCCAAAGCCACCAGCAACAGCTCCCAGGAAAGAGCTCTGCAAGGGGCTGGGGCTGTGGCGAGGCAGGGCTGAGCAGGGACAGCAGTTTATGCAAACGGCAGGGAGAAGAATGTTTTTTGTTTTTTTTTTCGAGGCAAGGAGCAAGAGTTTCAGAACAAAGACATGCACAGGAACAGCAGGCAGGAAATTCATTCCACTGTGTTGGCACACACGGGGCACACACACAGACAGGTCTGGAAACAGTCTTACCTGGCATCTGCTTCGCTATAGTATTCTCTGGCAACAATATCCTCAAAGAGCTCCCCACCAGTAACCCTGAAATTCGAAATAACAAGGGAGGTTACAGAGCTGTCTGCATGTAGCTGGGCACAGCACACACGGTGCCTGCCCAGCGGGCCCCTTTTCCCCAGGATCGCCCCAGCAGCCTGCACTGCACAGCTTGTGCAGAGCTGCCGTAGGGGACACAAGGAACATCCCACAGCCGTGGCCCAAGCCGTGGTACATCCACAAGAGCCCTTGGACTCATTAAACCGGTAGTATTTTGGGCAGCACTGAAGTACTGGGCACAAATGGTCCACGTGCCTCTACAGAGCTTAGCATACGATAAGCTTGGGCAGAAGACCCATCCTCTGACCCCTGCAGACTCCCTCCTTACCCAGCTGGGCTGCCCTTCACCACCCAACACTTCCATCTGCTTCCAGAGCCTTCCTGGTCCATCCCCTACTGCACCGTAAAGGGATTTATATCAAGTGGACTAGAATCACGTACAGGAAGAGCTCAACAGGGAAAGACAGAATTATAATAATGCAGGTGCCTTTTTATTCCCTTCTTAGTCAACAATCCCCACGTCTGTATCACTGACGAAGCTTCAAAGCCAACAGAGAGACACTTACAGATCAAAGACGAGGTAATGGAAACCTTCCTCTGAAATACTGTCATGGAGCCGCACTGCAAAAACACAATCAAGAAACGGGGATTTAGATAGCATGTGGCAAATAYGTCACCTCACAGACCAGACCTGCCCACCACACCAAGCTCTCCCTACCACAATCAGTCCCTTAATTCCCCTGCCCTTTGCTTGGTGCGCTCGCCTGGTGACCTGTAACCCTTTTCCTTCTGTTATCTCAAAGGAATAGATAGATAGATGTCCTTCACACGCACCCAACACCTACCCCGTGGCAACACAAACTCTAAACACTTTGGACCATTCTCCTAGTTTGGTGSTTCTCTCTTCCCACACACTTCAATTATACAAGTTAAACTCTGCAGAATCTCCAAAAAAAAGTCCACCTACATGTCAGTACCATCATCTAACAAATTCAATAAAGCTGGTTCCTTTCCTTCATCTTTAACTCACTCCATTATGCCTTCCAGCTCAAAACCCTTAAGAAAAATCCATGTCAGCTTCCTGCCTCATTTTTCCAGATCTATTTGTTAGCACAGTCATATCTGACTGCCTTCCCCTTCACAAAACTCTCATCCTTCTTCAGTTTCCACACCTATACTCCAGTAGTTCTGCTCTCGCTCTTCATCTTTTCCCCTTCCTTGCTCCCTAACCTCCAGAATTGGACGCTATCCCCTAGTGCTCTTTTGTCAAAACTAAACTCTTCATTTCATCTCACTTACCCTCCGCTAGTTTCCTCTTTTCTCCCAATATCCTCCTCTTTCTCCCTTTTCCAAGGGGAAAGGTTCTCTATATTGCCTGCCAGAGTCACAACCTAGCAATGCCACTTCACTCAATTCCTAAGCTTTGACACTTGGACTAGGGATGGGTCATCTTCTCTGCATGAGTCTCTCACTTTTCCTGTTGATTCATCCAGCCAAAACAACTAACCCAGGCGAGATCCCAGTAATCGAAACACCTTSTTATCAAGTGTTGACCAAAGCAACATTACAGTTCTTGTCCCCAGAAGATCATTATTCCCCTCCATCATTTTAATGATGCTTCTGCATCTCCTCATGACCTATTCTATATATTCTATATATGGCCTATTCTCTATATAGCCTGTTTATATGGCCTATTCTATAATATATTCTATATGGCCTATTCTATATATATTCTGTTCTATTCTATATAAAATACAGGCGACCTGTCTTGACTTTCCCCACCATAATGATTCTATCCTATCCAAACCAAGAGGCCAACTGTAGGAGTAGCTTCCTGAATGTCCACTTCCAGGAGTGGGGAGTGGTTCTGTTTCACACGTTTTTTTCCAGGAAAGGGAGATCCAACCTGTTCTACACGCTGCTGGCCATCTAATTATCACCACAACCTACTCACATCCACTTAAGCTGTGGACACAATATGGGAAAGARTAAAATGATCTATAGATGTAAGAAGGTGAAGAAGCCAAAAACTGACCAACTAGGATAAGAAAAATGGAGAATTGATAAGTATCAATTTGCCTCTGCTTTTCCTAAAGGACCCAGAGGCCCTTCTCCAGCTCTGCATGGGGCAGCAGTGACGTTTAGGCCTCGCACAGCAAGCGGCACCAACGCTCACATYGCGAAGAGCGCGCCAGTCCCAGCCGGAAAGGATTGGGACACAATGGAAGCTCAAGGTCTTCCACCCAACGAACTACAAGAAAGTTTAGATTTGTCAAAGAAAGCTGTTTTCACTCCCTGTATTGCACCAGAAGATTAATTGCTACCATAGCCCTGAAGAAGCAATTCACACCACGCTTCCTTCCTAGCCACAGGGATTCTCATGGGCACACAAAGTCCATCCCTGCCAACCCGCCCCACACTCAAGGTCACTGGATGACTCTTCCCAYGTCAAGGAACTCACTGATGTAAGAGCACTTACTACAGAGCAAGAGCAGCCAAGGAGAGGGGAATAAAAGAGAAGAAAACAGAAGTGAGGAGCCAGGCAACAGGGCACTAAATCTGTTACAGGATATGGTGAAAGAGACATTTCAGAGCACAGACAGAAGTCCATCCACACCAAGAACAGCGTGCTCAAACGTTCATAACGACATCTAATTTCATACGACTAACAAAGCCTTACAGATAGCTTCAGAACTAATAAATCAAAACAAGGGCAGTAGTGAGCAGTGGCAGAACAACCACTAACCAAAGCAGAAAATTTGTTGCAGACTGTCAGGCAGAGGGTTTTAGGCTGAGATAAAGTCAGAAGGCATSGGACAGTGCTACCGAAAACTGTCCCTTCAATTTCCAGCGTGCACGTGGACCTCTGCACTGCTGAACGCAGGCAGGGTGAAACGCAGCTTGCTTCTTCCCTCAGGCTCACTCCAGCCCCACCTGAAGCAGCCACGGCTCTTCGGCCACGCTCACTGCTAACACACAGCAAGCACCTCCCGCTAAGGTGGTTTTTGGCAAAATAACCTCAACAAGAGAAAACCAACGAGACCAAGCGGCAACTTTTCCCCCAAAGCCCCGATGTTGGGCGCTGTCAGATGCAAACTGTGCCCACTGCATCCCCTGCTGCGTGTGTGCCAGCCCCGAGCCCTGGTGCACCCAGGGCCCTTGCAAGGGGCCCAGCACTCGCAGCCCACTGMGCTCCAGCCAGCTCCAGGAACACGTGCTGGGAATATCCCTTCCTCCGCCCGCTGTCTTCAGAGGCTCGCGGGAGGTCTTGCCTCAAGGACAGAACTCAAAGCTGGTATTTCRGAGTGTTGCAAAATCCACATGCACTTTAGGGGTTTTTTTTAAGCTAAAAAGAAATCGTATCAAGGAGCAGTGGCATTAAATATAGAAAATGAAGTGTTTTAGTGAGAAGCAATATTGTACCAGTTACACCACGTTCGCTGCTCCTTTCCCGAATAAAGTCCCAAGTCCCTGATGCCTGAGCAAGATAACAAGTGACTGAAAGAGGAAGATCCCTCCCCCAACAAGTTGCGCCAACCTGAAAACCAAGGCAAACTGCTGCCGAGTTGCACAAAGCCRCATTCTGAGGATACAAAAGTTTCAGTGAATCATGAAGAAACGACCAAGCAGCTTTCAATTTTTACAGAAATCCACTTAACTACAGAAATAAAAAAAGGTGCCTCGCCTAAATTTGACCCCTTCTTTCCTTTCACTGTGCCCAACATGCTGCACGTTTAACCCTCCCCTCGAGCAACAGGGCAGGAGCGTTTGTGTTTGCACCCGGGTCACGGGGGGACGAGCCCCTGCACCCCGGGTGACAGGGAGCGCTTGCATGTCCTTAGGGGCAGAGTAGGGCTCTGGTATAGGGGGCTTTTACACACCAAATCACGATTCACGGGTGTGCACAAGCATCTGAACACCACAGGAAAGCAAGGGCACAACTGGCCAAACTCAAGCAACACAAAGTTTCCATGCTGGGACTACCTAACGCCCGGGGCTTTCAAACCAACTGGCCTTGGCTGCAGCACCTGCAGCGGGGCCCGCGCAACCYGGCAGGGATTTCCGCTTGTCTCTCGTGTCACGCTAACTGCGACACCCAAAGCAGCTCGTTCAGAGGGCCCCGCAAGGCCACCTCACAGGCGCTCTGCGACCGTGGGGGCCCCAGCTGCGACACGCAGGCCCGCTGCTCCACCACGAGCGACAGATTGGAGGAAACTGTGCGTGCAAGAAGAAACTGAACAAAAGTGGAGACTGAAGCCTGCCCGATGCACTCTCCGCCTTCTCCAGGAGATGCTGAGGACACATACATGACCATGCCTGGCCCCCCAGGCCATGGAGCGAGCACGGATGGGCCCTTGCGTGTGCTGGGCTCAGGGAGCTGCCCCGGCACCGCAGGGACTGTCCGTGCATGGGTCCGCACCCACCCTGAGCCTCCAACCCCAGCTGTTTCTCTAATCACACTAAACACCAGAACTCAGCTGCAGCTGCTCAGGCTGCTTCCAAAAGGGCTCTCCTTTTAATTAAAGACTTGCTATTAAAAAGTATTAWATTGTGTAATGCAAATAATTCTCTAGAAATCATCTGCTCCGGCAGCTAGGGCCGCCTTTGCCGGCGCAGCGACTGCTGGCAGCAGGACAGCCAGCTCGGGGGACGGGCCCTGCCGGGGCTCGTGAGCAGCCCCTGCGGGTGGCACCGCCAGCCCCCTGCCCTCCCGCGGGTGACAGGGGGCCGCAGGGCCAGGCAGGACAGACCCCGGCCCGCGCAGCCCCCGGCCCACACCGCTTCCCACCTGCCGCGCTCCGGMGAATGGGAAGGAGCAGGAGTCTGTTTCCACCCGCATCCCTGCAGGCACAGCCCAGCTGTTGCAGCTCTGCATGGAACGGCAAGGAAGAGTCCTGAGAGAATATGAAAAGCCGCACACATAATCATTTATTTCCAGCGTTGTCCTCAGTGAAGCACTTAACAGCTCTAGTCCTAAAATGAGGTCAAGCAAGTGCTCTTTCTGCTGCAGCTTCTTTGTTTTATACCTTTCAGCACCAACTAGACCGTGTGTTTTAATTGTTATTTTGTTGCAACGTCTGTACAAATGCCTGAAGTTCAGCACATGATAAATAACATCCAGGATGCCCTACTTCCACACCACACAAGCCAAAAGAATGCACTAGCAGGAATACTCTCTAATTTCTTGAAAACCTGCAATCGTGACCATCCAGAAGCACTAACACTTTCTGATCATATGTGTACGAGATGAGCAGAGCACCCCGGACCTGCTGCCTGCGCCATCTCCCATGCTGGGGCTGCCCTGCACACTGCTTGGTGCCCGGGATGCTGCAGGAACATCCATCCCCAGCAGCGGGGAAGCCCTCGGCTACCGCACACAGGGCTTGTTGAGACCCTTGGGCTCCACTGGGGCACAAACGTGGCCAAAGGGTGGGAGGATTCTCAGTGTTTTAACCATCCTGTGTGCAACATCTCCTCTGTGCCAATGCAATGGCACTCTGGATGTCTGCAGCCAAAAAGCCAGGGAAATTTGCTGCTTACAGCAAAACACAGCCTCTAGCTTCTCCTTTCCTTTTCACTTTAAGTTGTGGATCAAACCACGAGGGCAGCAAACGCAGCGTGGGGTCTGCAGATGTGGTCCAAGTATCCTGCTTCCCACCCAGATGGGTGACGTGGTGATGCCCTCCAACCGCGCTCCATAAAAGGCACAAAATCCTGCTGGGGCTTCACAGCAATTCACACCTTCATCACCCGAATCACCCCTCCAGTGCGCACAAACCAGAGGCTTTATTTACCCTTCTATTACAGTCATTCCCAGGAGAGAGGCAGAGACATCAGGAGGAGAGACCATTTGTCAAAGGAAGCCAAACTGAAACAGGCCAAAGGAAATTCACCTAATTCRCAGGAGGTTTTTCTACAATTTTCTCCCTTTTTTAAATAAGGATGTGTCCAAAATTATGGTCCATCCTGAGACAAACTAAAAGACAGAAGTTAAAACTCCAAATAATTAAGTGCAGGTGTATTTGCGAGACAGTCAGAAGCAGGAAAACCTGAAAAAGCAATAATTCTGATAGATGCTGAGAACAGCAGTTTACAACTGCTGTAAATTTTCTCAAAGAAATTAACTCCGAAGCAGTGCAGCACAGGATATGAAGGCAGAAACCAAAAAGAAGAATTTGGTTCTGTCTCTTGGGCTACTTGCAGCCTCTCAATGTGTTTGCTTTATTGCAGATCCAAACGCAAGCAGCGAAGTTGCACAATAACAGGCTAGCAGAAGGTAAGAATAACCAAGCCATCACTCTGAAATAAAAACAAAAATATTTAAGAGCTACTTTTGCACAAGATATCCTCGGTAATGGGCACGTTTGTTTTCCCATTAAAGCAGGATGAAAACGAACAGATCACTGAGGCATCTCCATGCAGTTTTGCTGCGCTGGGTGAGYACAGCCAGCACAAGACCCCTCTAGGCCTGGCACCTAAATACTCTAGAAAGCTGCCAAGAGCAGCAAAGCCACGAGCTGAAAGAGGGAAGGAAGCTCTGAGGTGAACGGTTAAAATCAGCAAGCTGGGTGATGAGCACCCGCAAGCTAGAGATGATGCACAAGTACAGCGAGCTCACACTGTGTCCTGTGAAAATACTTGTGGAAATCAAACGCTGCCTCCAGCTAAATGTCCTTGCCCAGGCCCTGGAAAGCTTTCCAGATCAAGAGATAGCCATACCGCAACACTGAGCGCTCAGAAGGATCATTTCACTGGGATTACCTTGACCCTGGGCATCTCAATGTGCATCTGCAGACAAGCAAGATGTCCTACTACAAAGCAAGTGCCTAAAATTAGGGCTGAGATTTCGCGAAGACATGTTAGGATAACACAGAAAGCTGCCCTATCACGAACAATGACACCAAATGAAAACACCATAAAAATAAAATTTGATAAACACTGTTGGCACTAATTTGTTTCCAGATTATTCTGTTTTTAATTGGTCGGAGTAGCAGCATTATCATCAATGTGTTGCTGTCTGGAAACAGCACCTCAGAAGCAACTGTCTTAGAGCAAATGGATAAAACCCATAAATTCAGCACGAGGTTTCCTCACATCCYGTATGCAGGCAGATGGAGAGATGAGCAGTCACGCTCCAGGGCTGCAGCTTCTCAAGCCTCTGTCCTGCCCTCACAGCTCACTAGAGCTTCAGGTCACCGCAGAACAGCAGGACACACTGCAACTGTCTCCAGCAAAAGCATCAACAGCAAAACCCCATTTCTCCATTAARGTAGGTGCAAAACCTGCCGAGTTCTGCAGTGTTGGTGCAGAGCTATGCAGCTCACAAGGGAGCAGCACAGGCAGCACTCATGTAGAAGAGGTCAAACACAAAACTCCAGTGGCAGGGTGCCAAAAGATGCCAAAATACCCAAGCCAAGGGAAAAAAACCCATCACTACCTCAAAACAACATGGTTTCCTTCACTCACAGGCCAACAGGCACTAGCTATATGGAAGCATCAGTGCATTTATCATTGCTGCTTCAGCAGAGCTTCYGACAGAATCTTACACACTGTTTTTTTTTATAAGCAAGTTAGCAAAATGGGTAGACAAAACTAGCTTATCATGGCAGATATTTGGAAAAAAAATAAACATACTCAAAATTGCTCCCTGTCAAAGTGGAACAATGCATCAAGTGACATTGACAAGTGTTTGTCCAGAGTCCAACACAGTTTAGCATTTGTATTAATTATCTACATGATGTAATATATGGCACTGTTATTAAAGATTACATTACCGTGAGAGGAGCAAGAATATTTTAATATCAGAAGAGAAATCAAATGGCCTTTACAGATTCAGAGGGAGTCCATGCAGAGTGGATTTCTTCCCATTTATTTTAATGAGGACAAAAGTAGTGCGCACTTTGGTAGGAATTCTCATCTACTCGAGATGGAAAAATGCCTTGCTTGCCAGCAGCTCTGCACAGAGTGGCCCGGGGCAATAACGGGTCACAAAGCAAACGTGCACCAGCAATGTTCTCAAAAAGCAAGTTTAACACGTTGGTAGGAAGACAAGAGCCTCCCCAGTCGGACAGGTGAGGCGAGTCCTCCCCCTACAACCAGCACYCCCATAGTCTCCGTTAGAGTCTTGCCATGCCCAGCCCCGGGCATCACGTCTAGAAAGATGTGAAGAAACTGGAGAGAGGCCAGGAAACTGGAAATGGAGGGAAAAAAAATACTGGAKGTCTAGAAACATGACGTATGAGAAAAGATTGAAAGAAYTGGGTTTGTTTAGTCTAAAGAAAAAAAAGACTGAAAGGAGACATGATAACAGTCTTCAAGTATGTAAAAGCCTGCTACAAGAGAGAAAAACTACTTTCCACATATACTCTGGATAGAACTAGAAATAACAAGCTAAGGCTAAGATAGCAGCAAAATATGTTTTTCTAATGTCTAACTGATAGAGGAATTAAACATTTTAGAGCTGCCACTAGGGGCTGTGGGATCATTACAGGGCTTTAAGAACAAACATACCTGGAATGGGGCCGCTATCAAATGTTTGCACAGGACTACTGACCTGACTGCATGACTTCCTCAGGTCTTTTTTTCCAAGACCGTGCTGTAGGCATAAAATTTTATTCCTTAATTGCTATTTGTGATGCCTTAGAACGGCCAGAATAAAAACAGTTTTGTTCTAGAAAAAACAAGAAATACTCTGCAGAAARTGCAAGGACTTCTGACCAGATACATTCTTCGCAAGAGACTTTTCCAAAGCATAATACATCAGGAGACAGGTAAAGTCACTCACTGCAGATGAGGAACCAACTGCAGAGCTGAGCTAGGAACGTGATAAGCTTGTTTGCAGTGGAATTCACCTGTAAAAAATGTTTTTCCTCTTGCATACAATGTTTAARTTTTGAGATGCTTGACAAGAAGTGTTGTAAGAATTGAGAAAAAGGAGAGATGACGGGAGTGAGAAATTAATACCAAAATAAAGAGTAAAATGACATTTAAGCAATGATAGTAACAAGACTTAGGGGGCAAAAGAAGMTTGGTAGTTAACTCCTAGTATGAGCTTTAGTCCCTCTGTACACTGTTAAGCAATAAATTTACAGTATATTCATCACTGCAAATTACTTTCCATGCGCTGGGAGCACAAACTTCCAGCTCCACAATGACCAAATCTCTAGTGCTTAAATTAATTTTCACTTTAAAAAGCACTTTTGTAGGATGTATCTAAATGGCTTATGAAAAAAAAAGAAAGCAATGACACTGCACTACCATTTTCTCAGACAGGAATAATTAACAGTAGCTTCGTCAAAGAGAGCAGCTTGGTAGTTCTTCAGTGTTTTCTCTGAGATATTAACCCAAGTTACACCTTACCTAGGGTTTCTAGAGTCCTATTTAGCTAAACTTCATTAAAAAAAGAAATGTTCCAAATCTCTTACTTAGAGTAACTTACAGCAAACAATGTAAAGTTTCACTAATGAAAAACTTGAGGCAAACTTCTGTAGCACTTTGGAACAAAACAGAATGCATGTCCACTCTGTCCAGTTTAGTAAGTAATGTACTTTTTGTTTGAAGATATGTCTTATTTTYCCCTCCTTTTTATTTGAAGTCAAAATTATTCTCTGGACTCCACTTGCCACCCGCTGCACTGACAAAGTGGGCAATTCCTCCTTTCCCATCTGTTCCACGGGGGGCAAGCACAAAACAAACAAACACACGAAACCCTCCTGCAGGATAGCCATGGAAACAGCCACGCTCAGCAGAAAGATGAAGGAAAAAAACCAACAAATGTATTACRGGAACAGAAACAAATTATTGGCTCTTTTGTCTTGCGTGACCACTGGAATGAGAAGAGACAACATATTAGTCCACCCTCCTCTCAACTGGGGCTCTCACTAAAAGTAGCCTTCAAAGGGATACCTAGCAAAGTGCCAAGAAGAGGAAGAGGAGAGGTGAGGGGCAAGCAGCCTCAGCTCAGCTGCCTCCACCGCGGCTGCTCGTGGCACTCGAAGGGAGAAGCTGTGGTGACTTCAGCAGGCACGTTTGACCAGAGCGGTTGGGGACGTTGGGAATACACTTGCTTCCTTACTGGGTGCGAGAAGGAGCCGTCTGGCTCCTGCCTCATCTCCCCGTTCCCGAGCCCAGAGACACTTACCAATATTTGGATGCTTTAGGAGTCGGCAGATTCGCGCTTCACGTTCCAGTTTCTGGTGATCTGAAAGAGAACAAGAAACAGGGCATTCAGCTGCACAGTCCCGAACCAGGCTCTTGTTCAGACTCAGTGGAGAAAGGAAAACAGTGGCCTGGAGGCCTGTGTGACCCTGGCAACTGCATAAGCATCTCCCCAGACCTCCCAGCCATTGGGGACGAGGGCTGCGCGGGCACCCAGAGCCACGGACTCTCCTCGTGCCCCAGAGCTGGGGGACCATGGCATGGAGCAGGGCGCTGCCCACCACAAAGGCACCCAAGCTTCAGCACCCACGGACACGCTTGCTGCGAAGGGCAGGGCTGCTGAGCAGGCATTTCCAGAGCTGCAGGCACGCAGCGCTGCCTAAATGCTAAATGTGCTTAGTGCAGCCCAAAGGCAGCGTCAGCTTGAGCAAGACTGTCATCTGGATTAGAGAAAATATATATACACACACACCAAGGAGAGCAAAAACGGTTTCYCCTCACTGAAATTTTACATGTGTGGGGGTCAGGAAAGGCGAGGACATTASAGCGAAGCTGCCCCTCACTGCCAAGAAGCAAGGGACCTTTCTAGTCCCTGCAGCTCATGCAGAAGGGCAATTTTTTCCACAAGAGCAGTGTCTGATCCCTGACTTGCACCGCAAAGCCCAATCCTCTGGAACGCGGTGCTCACATCAGACAAGCAGAGCATCACTGAGAGGATTGAGAGAAGCAAATCGTTGAGGCAGCCCTGGCAGTTCCTAAACTCCAGGCCTCCAGGGAATGCGATGCCTAGAAAGAGGCAAGAACAAGGACAGCCCTTCCTCCCAGCCCACCCATCAAAAGGGCAAAGAAAGGGGAAGTGGCACCAGTCCCCGCTCCATCACGACATTTCTTCTCTGTCAGACCTTCTGCACGCAGGCTCGAAACCCTCTCTGCACCACTGTGACACACAGGTCCTCTCCAGAGCAGCAAGCAGGACGCTGGGCTGGTTGGGCTCCTCACCAGTCWCTGGTAGCACTGCAGCACCCTCCCATTCAGAGGAACCCACTAGAGACTCAATTCTGGCAAGCGACCCTGCTAAACCCAAGAGCCTGTGCAGCCCTGAGTGCTGCACGGCCTTCCCTTCCCTTCCTTCCCCATCCACAAGCTTTGGGCAGCCGTTCCCGTCCCCACGAGCAGGGAGGTGACACCGARACACGTCTCTGCTCAGAATCCCTCTCTGCTGGGCTGGGAACAGCAGCTCAGGGCACTGCAGGATCTCTGTCTTCTTTCCCACTGCTGAACTGTAGAAAATGTCCCAATTAATATTTTATATGGGCTGAGATGTGCCTACATCCTCCTTTGCTACTGTTCAGGGAGGGGGGAAGGTAAATTACTCCTTTCATCTCCTCTTCCTTCTCAGTCCTGGAAATTATTGTTGCTGCTACATATATTTGCATGCTCTATGCCAGGATCACTCCAATGAAGTAGGAGGCAGCAGGAAGGGCTGGAGCGGTTCCACGCTCCCGAGCCCAGGCGCAAGGCGAGCGCTGCCCTACCGGGGGCTGCCTCAGCTTCCCTCCTAGCAGCATCTCTCACAAATGGGCCTCTGCGAAACGTCTGCAAGGCACAGACGGCCCTGGGCCCTCTGCACTCAGGCCACATCCCCACAGCGGGACCAGAACGGAGGATAAACTGTCCATAAGCTGCTCACGTGCTGGGGTCTTGCAGATTCCCTGCTTTCCCTCCCAACTCTACTTGGAAGTACTGCMCAAGGGGGATCCTCCAGCCTCCCCGCTCACACTGCCCTTGGGCCCCGTTCCACATGCCGAGAACCTGCTCCCAAGCACAAGGGCACCGGGAAGCAGACAGCAAAAACAGCTGAGCAAAGGGGGAAGGAGAGGTAAGAGGCCACCACGTGCTACTCAGCCACCGGGCCCTGACAGCCAAGACGGACAGCTGACAGGAGCACAGGCTCAAACAGAATGACATAACCACCGAAATGCCACAGGACATGTAAATCAAGAGCAATTGCTCCCCTGAAAGCCTAGACGCTGCTGCGGAGGGCGGGRAGCAGGCAGGGCAGCCAGCGGGGCCGGGCCGCGGGCGCAGCACGGCTTGGGACGGGAGGTCAGCGCCCGCGCGCCGGCCCCCAGCACCACGGAGCCTGGCGGGCRACCAGCGCAGCGGCAGCGCCGCGGTCACAAGGTACCGGGAACTATTTCTGGTCGGGGGGAAAGCACAACACCCCGTCCTGTCGCCAGGGCAACACAACAGGCGGGCTGCAGCACATCTCCGGAGGGAAGGCACGCGCGGCCGCCCCGCCGGGAGCACCGAAAGGTCGGGCTGCGCCGCCGCCTCACGCGCTCCCGAGGGTCGCCTGGGCCTGCAAGGAGCCTCATCTCCAGAGGGCCCTTCCAACCTTAACCGTTCCATGATTCTGCGAGCCCCCWGCCCGGGGAGAGCGCCTTTTAGTCTCTGTCTCCAGGTGCCCTTCAGCACGGTGCGCACAACTGCACTCCGACTGTCATGGTCAGCAGCCGAGTCCGTATCTCACTTGGGGGAAGCAACCCAGCATCTAAGTGCAGAGTAATCTATGGAATAAACACAGAATTGCATTTTTTCTAATTCTCTCTCTGGTCTAATGATGGTCATTTCCAGCAGGAAACAGAAAAACAACACGATTCTGCGATGCCAAAAGAGTAGCCAAAGGTCAGGGTATCAGACAGCTCATCTCATCTTACACAGGGGCTCACAGAATCCTAAAAACCCAAAGTATTCATAAATACACCAGAGGAACGATGTGAAGAAGKTATGGGCTCAGATCCCTGCCTTATCAAGAGCTTGCAAAGCAAATAACTTCTCCCCTCCCACTAGAKGAAACTTTTGCAAGCCATCTGTTGGGTGAAGGTAGATTCTTCCCGCACAGCATGAGACGCCAAGCTTGCAGCGAGCAAACGCAGCAGCGCATCCCGACCCAAGTTATATGGGCCGAGGCCTAGGACATTAGGTCTATTTCCTGCTTTTCACAAGCTGCACAAGGAATATTAACAAACAAATCTCATAGTGCATAAAACACACAGTATCTTTTTGAAAACACAAGCTTCGATGTCTTCAAGCGGTGCATAAAGCCAGATACTCACGGAAGTTTCTCCAAATGTTAATTAAACTTGCTGTTAAATTTTTGCACTGTATTTCCAAGTCTGATTTCATTTAGCTTCTGCTCTCACATTCTGGATTTCATTAAGCTTTCTCCCTGCTAAGCTGCAGAACTCTCTACTGCTGAGCAATTGCTAATGTCTAAAACTTAAGTACAGGATATTATGAATACTCATCTAATATTCATTGCATGTTTTCCTGCCAAAATAACAAAAACAATAAAACACTCACTTTCTGGACAATTCCTCTATCTACAGCAAGGACTACCTACATGGACTGGGAAGTCCAGTCTACATAGGTAGAAAAACTTAAAATTCCAATGTTTTAAGAGATGGAGCTTAAGACTGGAAGACTAAGTCTTCTCAAATTCTTGCGATGTTCAGCACATAAACTAAGTTATGAGAGTCTAGTTTTCTATCAGGCCTCTACACTGATAAAATATCTGCATTTTGGTTCAAAACTGAGACTAGACTTAAGCAGTTCGTCATCAGCATTACTGCTATGCAAGAGCTTCTCTAAGCACAGCCTAAGCAACGTAACACAAGATGTCTTTAGAATATACCTGCCTGATAACCCAAAAAAATGGCTGTTCAGAGAGCTGGGACTTCTTTGGTTTGTATTTTTAATTTGTCCAGAGGTTTTCTTTAATAGAAAGTGAGAGTGACTGTGTTAGCACCATTTACAAAAGCTAAGGACTTGCAAAAATGAAACTGCTTCATTTTACACATCAAGGCAGTCCATTTACCGGAACAGAAGCGCTCGTGCTCAAAGGACGGGCAGGGGTGGCTGAGCTCTGATAGCAACGGCGCAGACAGAAGCCACCGAAAACAAAGGCAATGCAGCCCGAGCACACAATACAACAGGCCAATTTGGCCTAAATACATCAAACTCATCTGAAAAACAAGATAATGCGATGTAAAAGACAAGTACACCGAAGTGAGAAATAAAACCCAAAATGCAGGCAGTTTTACTTCRGGAGAAGCCAACAAACCCCAGTGGGGGGAGGACACAGCCAGGTCCATCCTGCCGCCCGCAACGCATGGGTCTCCTTTGAGCCATGGGCAGCTGTGATAAACGTGCCCTCCACCAGCCAAAGGCTCTGCCCGCGCTCCCTGAAGGGCCTGGGTCCCAGGAGATTGAGGGAGACGTGCCCTTCATCTCCCGTTCCCCATCCACTGCCTGGGGAACACGGRGATTTATGGCTCTGGGAAAGCCTCCAGCACCTATCTCAGGTAGTCACCCCTCGTGGCAAACAGGAGTGTGAACCAGCACTGAAAAGCAACAACAACAATAGAAATAGCAGAGAAAACAGTCACCCRATTAAATAAAAGCATTTAGTTAGCAGAGGAAGCGATTAATTCACACCTGCCAGAGTCAGGTGGAAAACACCAGTTCCACCACGCTTGCTCCAACAAGCACTGGAAACACCACGCGGTTTAGAAACAGGCTCCCAGAAWAAAGGAGCACACCTGCCGGCAACACCCGCCGGCGGCCTGGCTCCCGTTCCCAGGCTGCGGTTATCCAGGGTGCTGGGGCCCCAGCTCCTGTTTAGTTAGGCTGCGTGCCTCAAAAAGGGCTGTCCTAGCACTGGTCCAGAGCTCAACCGCCCCAATGGCTGGAGAGGTTCCCCCCAAGCGCAGCGAAAAGCAGGAGCAACAAAACAACAAAACTGACCCTGAGGTATCAATCACCCCTGTTTGAACAAAAATGAGGCTGGGAAACAAACACACACAAAACCTTGCTCCTCCCTTAACCCAATGTATAATTTTCCTGCTCTTAACTGGAGTATAAAACATGAGCTGCTCACTAGCACAGTCCACTTGCCTTCACSCTGCTCTAGACCGGCGCTTCATGCCTGCAGTTGCAGGCAGCCTGTATCCCCACAGGACTCAAATCTCCATCCTAGAT